TCCGGTCCCTCTCGCGCTCCGGTCCCTCTCGCGCTCCGGTCCCTCTCCCTTCTTCTATGTTAATTATCTAACTGGCTTGCTGTACCAATTTTTTTTTTTGTCTATTCCAAATTTACCATTGCCTCATTAACTAATAATGAGCAAGTTACTTGAATGGTTTGCTTTCCTTGGGATTTATTGCTAAATGTTTCCATGGTTTGGGTGTTATTTTTAAGACCAAAATTGAGTGCTTTTTGTCTTACAAAGCTCAGACCATGTCTGACTCCCTACTTCCAAATCTGATAAATTGGTTCGTGATCTAATTTCATGTTATCAATACGCAGTACATTTCTCTTGTATGCCTTAACATACCAAACACGAAAACAGTGGGTTTTGAGATGTGCGCTTAGACTTTGTTTCTTGTTTCTTTTCAAATGTAGGCCATCTGCAACTAATTTAAACAGTGCACAGCATATAAGGAGGCATTTCAACATTGTACATTCCATCATTACATATATACTAGGAAGATTGTCCTGTGAGATGAATATATATTCCACAATAACATGCTTTTATGTAGCTATCGTTGGACTTGGATACATGCTGGTACATTTTACAAAGAGAAGCAAAAGTCTTTTGAGTGATAGGGAGCTGTTGGTGGATGGAGCTGCAACTGGATTAGATTACATAAAGGGAGGTGATGGCCTAGTGTTATTATCACCAAACTGTTAATCCAGAGACCCAGGGGAGCTGGGTTTGAATCTCACCATGGTAGATGGTGGGGATTCGGATTCAGTAAAAATCTGGAATTGAGTCCATGGTGATCATGAAGCATTTTCAAAAAAAACCCAAATGGCTCACTAACGTCCGTTCATTAACAATAAACTTTGGCCTTGCCAGCAACGCCCACATTCCATCAATGAATTTTGAAAAAAAATAGACTAAGGGCAGGACTGAGTAAATCTTTGAAGGCTGATTTGAACAAGTAACATAGAGAAACTTTGGTAGGCAGCTTCAAGGGCAGACACAGGAGAAAAAGCAAGGAGAGGGAGTCCATTATGTGGGGAGCTGCTAGGAGGTAGACACTTGGCTTAAAGTGGATGCAGCCAATGGATCTAAGTTAGGTTAATTGCAATCAGCAATGAACTCAAGTTGAATTCAAAGATTGTGACATTATTAGAAAAATGCAAAAGCATTTTCCCACAACACTTCTATATATCAACAACAAAAACACTAGATAATGTAATTTATCCTGTGGCTTTTCAAGGGAAAACTCAAAGTGCAAATTAACTGCTGTATTTGACTATTTTGTTCATGATGAAATATTTAGGGGTGACTTAAGGGTGTATAAGATGCTATCTATCTGTTAGTTCTTGAAGATAATCGAAGGAAAACTTAGTCTTGAGAAACAAACTGAACACCTGGTACAGCATTGATTAAAGCCTGAAAATTGGATAACACTCAGGGATGGAACATGGTTGTGTGATTTTTATTGTTTTTATAAGCCACATGCACGCATGTAACATGAGCTTGCTTTTCTCTTCTGTTTTATATGATCCCAGCTGATGTTATTACTGGGCAAGTCCAAGCCCAGGCAGAAATCTGGCTTGATTGATCATGTCTTTTGCTGTTTTGGTTTTATCGAGGCTGTCTTTCAATGAAACACAAGCATGCAATACTGCAGATTTGGGTTTAATAGTGAAACAAATTGTTGTGCAAAAGAAGTGATGAAATCGATGAATGACACATATGGTACACATTGAAGGTTATGAAACATGATAAAGTGCAACCTTATTAATCCCAACAGCAATTCATTGCAGTATTTGGACACAAGAATTCATTTCTCTTTCTCACATATGAGTTGACTTGACTGTAGCTTCAATTTCCAGTCATGAAAATCTGATCACCTCTTCCTTGATTTTTTTCATATACTGAGCTTACCTTTCTTCAACTTCACATAACCCTGTCAGGGTTTTCATTAAACACTTATGGTCTGGGTCATTTAACCTAAACTCCTTACTGTGAGGTAACCTTTTAGCAATACTAAACTAGCTCCCTCCCTTAGCAGCAACTGTTTTACAGCTTCAGCCGTGACTTCTGAAAACTGCCCGAGTGAAACTTACGGGTACTTCCCCTAGGCCCTCAAAAAATTCTGGAATCTTCTGTCTGAAACCATAATGCACGGCTCTGTTTGCTTTGTTCGTTCATAAATTCTCCCAATATAAACAAATCCCCAATACTCTCTGGGAGGCTTCTGACTAAGTGTTTTAAAAGAAATCACAGTGGCTATAGCAATACTTACAAACTAATTTTTAAACCCCTTCAAGTCATGCAAAACCCATATGCCTCTAGCTCAAAGTTCAAAAATCCACAAATAAATGTTACTAAAATATATGGAAATTATGTCTTGCATCACCGTATGTAGCAAGAGTCTTTCGTTCAAAATCACCACACTTTTTGTGGGGTGCTGTGGGTGTGGAGTTGGAGGGGTGGTTGTCAGTGTTGCAGTATCCAGCAGCAAGCAAACTTTCTGATTTTCATTTCCCAATATTATAGAATCAGTTTCCCTGCCCGCATGTTTCCCCAGTGTGGGATTTGGCCTGTCACCTGTTGGCAGGTATTTTATCATCCAGAATCAAAGGAGTTTGCAACCACAGAAATCAAACCAAAAGTAAATACAACTGAACAATGTTGGTAATTAGGATGATATTTTGTCTCTTGTCTCCTGAGTCTTGAGCTGTAATGATCTTTCAAAATCTGATCACCTCTTCCTTGATTTTTTTCATATGCTGAGCTTAGCTTTCTTCAGAGCTTCACTCTGCAAGGTATATTTGCTGTGACAATGTTGACGTGGGAACTTTGAAACCTGGGAGCAACTACATCCTGCACTGAGGAAAATTTCATTGGAACAATTCATTTCATAGACAGAACAAGACTGTAAATGCTTCCATAATCAGCCCTGGAGGAATGTATTGTGTAAGGATTTCCCCCTCTGCAGGATTGTTAGAAAAACTGTGTATGGAATATCAGGAAGGCTTATCTGGGGAAAATTCATGTACAGGATATCTTTGGAATATTTTTGGATCTCACTGTGGGAAAGCTAGGAATGGTGAATTTCTGGAAGTTTTTTTTTAAGGATAATTTGCAGTTGTTTAATAATTTATACATTGTCAAAATTTAATCTGATTTATCCAGCAACTTGAATAAGAAGGCCTCCCTGCTGCTTTACTTGAGGACATTATCAAGTCTAAAGAATATGAGCCTTATAGTTTAATGGCAATATTTCGTCTTTACAAGAATTATTCCATGTTTGTTGTATTGAGCATCCTACCAAATATTGGTGTAACTGTAAATAACTGTATGTAGTCTTTTTCCTTTGGTGGAAACATGAAGTTCTCTTTGAACAGGGTAATTGTGACTAATATATGCATATTGAATTTCTAAAGAAAAAAATTCCCTATCAAAAAAGGTCTAGTAATGATAGTGAGATGAAGTACAGTAAAAGGATGTTCATATGGAACAAAAGATCTAATTGGACCAGTTGAGCTGAATGATGTGTTTCTGTGCTGTATGATTTAGATTTAAAATAATGCATGAATGTATTAATTGTGCTCAATAAGCCAATGTGCCCCTCCCTCCGCTTCCTTCCCTTTTTTAAACACACTCATTCCCCTTCATTGCCACCTCCCCAAAATGATCAATTTGTGCTGAAAGCTTTAGTTAATCCATAAGGAGGTAGTTTTTGGTGGAGTTTTCCATTGCCCTCTGCATGATTACACTCTTGAATGATGGAATTTTAATTTTACCTTGCCCTCTTGTATGAATTTTCCACCAGGCAGAGTAAATCCTATCTACCTTCCAAATGGTTTCCTTATTGTGTTAGGTCAATGCAAGCCAGGTTTATGCATCCCTATCCTTATAGTTTAACCTCTTCAGGTCCCGGTATCACTCTGAATCTACAGTATTCCCCCTCCAAAACCATATACTTTTTTTTTAGAACAAGTTCTATTTAACTTATTTTTCTAATCAACCTGTTCAGGCAGGTTATTACGCACCTGGTGCAGATGGGACTTGAACCCAGGCTTCCAGTCCAGGGAAACGGACACTAGTATTGCACCATAAGAGGGCCTCCCCAAAGCCAGTCTATCATTATGGGCTGAATGGCCACTGTCTGTGTCGTAACAATCCCATGATTTGGAAATTCCTGAGGTTTGATGCCCAAAACTGAATGCAGCAATCCAGGTGGAACTGGACCATAGCTCTGACTTCCTCCCCATTATGTTGAGCTTCATTGAGATAAAAGCCAGTAAGACCCAGGTCTTTATCAATCTGCCTTTCAATGATTTGTGTATGTGTGCACCCACATCCTTTCCTTCATTTGAATTTCTCATCTTTTGCGATTTGAAATTTTATCATTCTAGTATTCAAAGCCTGTGATCTCTGCTATCTGCCGTAATTTTTCCTATTCATTTAATTGAGCTATTCCTTTTTATAGAATTGTTTTTGTCTGGGGTTGTTTGCGAAGCTCGCAATATTAACTCAATTAATATTAACCTGATATATATGAGGTCAGAAAGCATTTAACTCTGACCTCTATTACTAGCAAAGGCTTAGTTTTCATGATCATCTTTTAGATCATGGAAAAAATCTGTTCATGATTCTATCAGCCAAGTGCTGAACTATTGCTCTCAGCTGACATTTAGAGCTGGACCAAAGGGCAAGAAAACTGGTATGTTATTCTGTCATACAGTTACAAAACCAGTGGAAATTCTGTCACTTTGTAAAGATGTCATACCATCTGTGCTGATTCATGGGAAATAAATATCCAGTTTTATCACTGGCTGTAGATTCCAGTATTGAGTTAAATTTTGAGAATTTGCTGTATCCTCGTTTCATGAGGTTGTTTTCTGTAAATATGTGTGAGATGCTTTGTTATATTCAAGATCGACTACTGTGTTTTGTTTAATATGTGGCATGTTGAAAAATATTTGTTCCAGGGGCAAAGACGAGAATAAAAAGGATTGTTTGTGGTTCCTCTTGAAATGGAAAAATAGATCAAACATCAAAATAATCATGAGCTCAAGATTCAAGAATCTGTCCAACACTTTGATTAACTTTTTTGTTTCAGCACTGAATTGGTGTAGGATGCTTTTTCAATTTCTGCTGAAATGTATGGTCATCAATTTATATTGTGTGAAAAGGAAAATTTTTAAAAAAAGCTCTTTTATAAAGCTCTTTTTGAGACCATCAAATGTCTCCGACTGCTCTGAAGCAGAGGATTCCAAACCATGGTTACAATCCCCATTGTGGTTACAGAATGAATATTTGGGGTCGTTGTCCTCCCTTTTTTCCTGACACTTCCCCAGTCTGGCAGACCAACCAACATGTTTCCCCCACCCACTCAAAATACACAGTCTTCACAAATTGCAAAAGCTTGCTCACTTACGTTATTCATCACTAGTTGGAATTGGTGTACTGAAAGCTACTTAAGAACTGATTCTGTGCACAATAGCCCAATCCAGGTTGCAACTCTTTCTTTGTTATTTGATTCTTTTCCCTCATTTTGTACACTGGAGTGTAATTGAATTTTATTTTCTAATGGTTGCATGCAGCTGAGGAAGGGGAGCAACATCCGCCAGTGGACTCGGAGAATGACGTCTCTGGTTCAAACACACCAACTGCACGAAGAAGAGGAAAGTTTCCAGGTTTTGGGAAAATATTCAAACCATGGAAATGGCGGAAAAAGAAAACCAGTGAAAAATTCAAGGAGACGTCTGCAGGTATGCAACTGGGATTTTTTTTTTTTTTTTTGAAAAATTTAAGGTACAATTTTATAAGTCTAAGCTTAAAATTATTTCACTGATTCTACTCCCAAAAAAGTGATGTACATTCTGTTGACTTAAGTGGTAAAAACTGATTCAAATCTGTCAGCTGTTCACTGGAAGATAAATGTTTTGTGGGCATTCAAGGTAACAGGATCGATCTCAGTTGTTGTATCCTCCTTAGCCAGACAGCCTACCAGTATTCACCAGTTGATCTGACACCTGAAGAGTGCAACTGTGCTGGAGGTGCCTCTTGGAACTGTATCCCACCAGAAATGAACACCTATAGGAAAAGAGAACAGAATTTAGTGAGCAGAGACAATGAATGGAAGGAAAGTATTTTCGGTTTGATTGGGACCAATAAAAATCCAAGAAGAAGACAGCACAGATGGATGTTATTGAGTCATCATACCCGTAGCAACATCTTGATTGAGCTATCCAATTAGTCGCGTTCCTTTTGCTCTTTCTCCATAGCTCTTCAAATTTCTTCCCTTTGAGTATTTATGCAATTCTCTTTCATTTATGGAGGTGTTTCTTCCTGATACCCTTGGTTCTTTTGCCAGTTGCCTTAAATCTTTGTTCACAGTTACCACTTCCAGAGGCGGATAGACCAGTTTCTCTTGATTCTTATCAAAACTGTTCCTGATTTTACACACGCCCATTGAATCCAATCGTAAATAATTCAACATTCTCCAGTCTTCCTTCACTCGACTGAATCCCTGATGCAAATATAGTCAAAATTTGCATCTTCACCAAGGTCTTGACATCTTACTGAAAATGCCAAGCCCTGAATTGAATGCCATGCTCTAGCTAAGGCCTAACGAGTATTTTGTATACCATTCCCATTACTGCTTTTTATTTCTTCTCTATTCCTTGACCATTGAAGCCAACAATTCTGTTGTTTTCATGCCATTTTCTCAACTTTTCTTGCAACTGTCAAAAATTTGTGTGCATGCATGCCCTCTAAGTTTGTACCATTTAGTCATACACCTCCCTTCGCTCTTCTTCCCAGAATGTAACACTTTACACTTGTGTTAAATGTCATGTGCCTTGTGTCTGTCCATTTTTCAAATCTGTTGATAATGTTCAAAACATTAAATGTTATAGTATTCAAGGCTATAGGCTTAGTGTGGGAAAGTGGGATTAGTATAATTAGTATTGTATTTTTGGCAGTGCAGACCCAGTGGGCTGAAGAACCTCTCCGTACTAATATGATTCTGAACTTTCCTACTGTCCTCATTGTTTGCTGCATTTCAGTTTCTCAGATAATCCTCAAACTTTCATATCACATCCTGTACAGCAAAATTCAGATTATTAATACATTACTGAGAGGAGCAGTGATCTGCCTACCTGGGGAACACCAATACGTATACGCACACACCTGAAATGAGGAGGAATTTCTTCTTTGAGGTTATGAATTTGTGGATTCCTTTACCGCAGAGGGCTGTTGAGGCTGGGTCATTAAATATATTCAACATTGAGACAGGCAAGAGTTCTAATCAGTGAAGGAATCAAGGGATTTGGGGCAAAGGCAGGAAAGTGGAGAAGTTGAGGATTAGCAAATCAGCCATGACGTCACTGAATGGCAAAGCAGGCTGGGGCTGAGTAACCTACTTTTGCTCCTATGCCACGTGGTCTTAAATAAGACTGTAGCAGTTCAAAAAGGTGGCTGTACCACCACCTTTAATGCAATAGGGAACGAATCTCAGTCCAAAACTGGCACCTCCACATCATGGCAATAAGGAGTGGATGACAAATGCTTGCCAGGAATGTCCATACCTCATGAATGAAAAGAAGAACTCTCTTTAGTTTAAAACAGTGACTGCAACACCTACAGTGTTCACCAAAACGCATCTGTTCCGTTCTGGTAGCGAGTCTTTCCAAAGAGTTGTCAGTAGTTGCAGTTACCAGTTGGAATAGAGAACCTTGTGGTGGGAAGCATGCATTTTTACAAACTAAACTCCTTTATCAAGGAACTTGGGTGCTTAAAAACAAAGATTTACATTTCTAATCTGAGAGAACTTAGCAGATCATACAATTTTTGTCAAGAGACAAACGGCTATGTTTCACTTGGGCCACTTGTGCACAGAAATCTAAGACAACACTCTAGTTCAGCACTGAGGTAAAGTTGCACTGTTGAATGTGCTATCACTTGGATATTTCGTTAAATTAAGACTGCCCCCTCCCCAGCGCACATGTACGCGTATGCACACGCACAGGCATCAATACAAAGCCCTCAACTATTTTGATCTATATTAATGGCTTGGATGGAAGGTCTGACAGTATTGTAGCCAAACTAGTTGATATACAAAGGCAGGTATGAAAGTAAGTTTTGAGGATACAAAGAGTCTGTAAAGGTATAAAAGTAGGTTAATTGAGCAAACAAACATTTGGCAGTATAAAGGGGGAAAATGTGAGGTTGTCCACTTTGGCAAGAACAGAAAAGCAGAATATTGTTCAAATGGAGAGAGATTACAGAATGCTGCAATAAGGAGAGGTCTCGTGTGTCCTTGTACATGAATCTCAAAATGTTAAAATGTGTGTGCAACAGGCAAAAGGAATGGTGATCTTCATTGCAGGGCGAATGGAATATAAAAGTAAGAATGCCTTGCTATATCTGTACATGGTCTTGGTAAGAGTGCACCTGAAGTATTGTGTTCTGGTGTCAAATTGGAAACCATTCAGAAAAGTTTCATTTGTCCGATTCTAATGGTGAAATGGTTTTTGTATGAGGAAATGTTGAGTAATTTGGCTGAGAGCATTTGCTTTTGTGGGAGAATCTAAAACTAGGGGCACAATTTGAAAATAAAGGCTTTCCCATTTAAGACAGATGCAAAATTACTGAGAGATCGTCGTTCTTTGGAATTCTGTTCCCACGAGAGTAGTGGAAGCTGGGTCATTGAATATAATGCACAGAGTCTCACAAACTATTGGCTGACAAGAAAGTCGCAGATTATGGGGGACAGGTAGGAAAGTGGACTTAATGGTGAAATGATTACAGAAAAATGGAGGCATTGCCTTTTGTCTAAAATTGTTAAACTCAATGTTGACTCTGCAAGCTTTTAAAAAGCCTAATTGAGAGATTAAGTGCTGTTCTTAAAGTTTATGATGAAACTGTCCATATCAGTATTGTCAGAGGCAATAGATCAAAGTGTGAGTAGAGCAGAGAATTAAAATAAAACTTTAGGGACCAAATGAAGGTGTTTCACAAAGCCTTCACTCAATCTATGTCATGTGCAGCTGTTTATACACTAAATTTCTAGCATAACCTTGTGTTTTTGCACTTCTGTTGTGCCTTTCATAACCTCGAGTCATTCAACACCCTTTTACGGCTAATTAAATAATGTTCTTGGGAGCTTTTACTTGTAGGTGAGAGAACAGATGGGATCTCAGTTCTGCATCATATTTAAAAGCCAGCAACTTTAACAGAACTGGATGTTGACTATCAGCTGAGATTTTGTTGCTCAAGTGCTTAGACTATGAACCCACGATTTTTTGATCCTTGATTAAGTGAGCTACCCACTGAATGGCCATCACATGAAATAGGGCCCAATCAAATATCAGAAAAGATCATAGGTTTTACAGACTTAGATAGTTAAAGTTCCACTTGTGTAGCTTCCAAGAGCAAGGGAAGAGTTTCATAGTTTTGATCTTCCCAGAATTAATTAGGCTTTAATGTTCATTCACAGGATGTGGGTGTCTCTGGCTAAACTTGCATCAATTGCATTGAAGAAGGTGGTGATTTGCTATTGTCTTGAACCACTGAAGTCCTTGTGCGGTTAGGAAGACAGTAACAGATTATAACCCAACACCGACATATTTCTAAATCAGCTGGTACGTAATTTGGGGGCAGCTTGCAGCTGGGAGTTATTGGTAGCACCCATTGCCCTCGTTCTTCTGAATGATAAAGTTTGGAGATTGATGGATGCTCTCAAAGATGACTCGATAAATTGTTGCAGTGTCATGCAAGTAATGCACAGTTGCTATACAGTGGTACGCTGCTGATGATGGGAATCAATGTTTAAGATAGTTGCGTGGATGCTGACTAAGTGAGCTGCTACTGTCCATCTGCTTATATGTTTCTCTAGCTCTGTAGTTCCTGCGCAAACCTGCCCCCAAATTTCCAAGTCTGTTCTACATTCACATAGTAACTTGGATGGACTGGCCGACTGAATTTGTTGACTTTTGCAACTGCCGTTTGGAGAAAGCATCTTGCCTTAATTTGAATCCCACCCAATCCCTCAACATAGCAGAGATCAAAGTCTTTCTCTGCTTTTCTTGTAACCTCTGCTCTTGTCTTGAAGGTACTAACTGGAATGTTTTGCTGTTGATGTGTATCTCAATCAAATCCAAACTACTTTTCAGAGCGGACTTCACTATAAATGACAGCCAGGCTGCTCCTTTTTCTGTTACTTATTTTTTTTCTTCTTCTACCCCTTCAGCTCAGAAATCTAAAGCCTGACTGTTTGATCTCTTGGCAGCTCCATCCTGAGATCAATATGCTGAACAAGCCTGGGCTGAGCCTAGATACATAACCTCAATTTGTACGTCTTGTTATCACTACAATCGTTCACTCTGAGCCATTGTTACTGATGAGAAATACTGCAGAAAATTGGAATTGCATCCTGACAGTACAAGGCAATTTTTATTCTAGCATTGATGCAAATTACCAGCACACCGCAGCTTGGTTTCAGACCTCATTCCCAAGCTGTTTAGAGTAGATTTATCCTAATTCAACGTCACAGCTTCCAGTCTGTACCTTTCAGCATACAGCATTTAACTGTTTTTATCAACTTCCTACATTGAGAGTGAGTGTGGGAGATGATAACAAGATTTAGAATCTGCCAGTTTTATATCAATAGCGACAATATTTAGACTAACACATAATGCAGAGTTAATGAGGGGGTCATTTGATTTAGTTACATATATCTCAATGACTAATAGTGTCAATCAACAGACTGGAAGCTTAGTCTTTGAAGGATACTTTTGAATTATTACCTGGTTATCCCGTAACTGAGATTTCAATCAAATCCAGAGTGAACATAAAATTATTTTCTGCTTTGACCTATCATCACATCCCTCCTTAGCTCAGTGATGTTGATGAATAATCGCGTGTCTATAGGAAATGATTCCACTGGAGAGTAGTGGTTTAGAAGTGTACTGACCTGTCACCTTTATTAGCTTATTTTGAAAATTAAGTGTTAGGATGTAGGCTGAGGAGTTTTGGTAATACAGACATACTCTGCTCTTTCAAGTGCTTTCATCCTTTGCACTGCAGATGTGTTCTTCCAAGACACTTGCATTGTAAAGATTTTGTAATTAAAATTAGTCCATTGTTGCCTGTGAGAAACTGAGGATCCCCTACCAGTGACACATACCTAGGATCATATTCATCCCAGTAAAACAATGGCCGCTTCAGGTGGGATGTCCTAATTCAGATGACTGACTGTGCTTCGGAGGGTGCTTCACATTAGTAGAGTCAGAATTGACTATTCCTGTGGTCAACTTAAGCGCCACTTTATACTTTGTCTACTACTTTAAGGTAAGAAATAGGAAATAGCCCAGTAACTCCACAAGCTTACTCCACTATTTACTAAGATCATGCTGAATTAATATATCAGTTTTAAAGGTGCCCTGTGTATCTTTGAATATATTGATAACTCTATTTAAAACAGCAGACAGAAGAATTCTGTCAGAGCATGTGAAGCTAGTTGAAATGACAGCTGTCTTTGCACCTTTCAAGTCAGAGGCCTTTTTCCAGCAATGTATTTCCTATGTTATTTTCTATTATTGGATTCCATTTGGAAGCAATGGAACGCCGTATGGTGAGTTATGACAAGAGCATTCCTTGTGAATTGAACAGCAGGTGTACCCTAGTCAGTAAATGATACACTTCACTTCCCATCTCTCTCTCCACTAAGTGACCCTTGTTCCTGTAGAAGCTTATCAAAACCTCACTTCTGCTGGGTGATACTATTCCATTTAGAACTTCTTGATTCATGTGTAATTTGTTTTTAGTTTACCATCTTACCAGGAATTGCAATGTTGAAAGCCCTCAAAGGTTGTTATTTCGAAGCTTTATGTGCACCTTACTGAATGTTCTAGAATGCAGCAGACTGGTCATTATTGGATCTCAGTTCTGTGATTTATTACATCTTTTATTTCCAAAATCCATCCATTTCAAAAGAGAGGGAATGCTTTGTCCTGGTACTTTGAACCAGTGGTCATTCTACACTTATCCAAAGAGTGAATGTTGGGGTTTTGTTTCAACCTCAACGGTTCTGTAGTGGAGCCAACTGACGTTGATAGGGTCAAAATTGGAATACGAGCTCCCAAACAATATTTTTTGTATCTCTCTGCCATTTTCTTTTCCTGTTTTGCCATGGGGTTCAGAGTCCAGTTGTTGCATTTCAGCTGGCAACTTAACAGAGATGTGTTACCTCTGAATAGACAGCGGAACTGTTGAAGAGCAGGAGTGATATCGTAGAACCGTTGAATGATACAATCCAGCAGGAAGGTCATTCAGCTCAGCGTCTAAAGCTGTGGTATTTTGAAGTGAGGTGTCCACTATAGGTGGAATTAGCTCTGCAGACTCCAACCAAGGGTCGTGTATCAAAGGTGATACCTTCTGGGTGGGATGCTGTTCAGAGGGTCAGTGCGGACTTGATGGGCCAAGTGGCCTGCTTCCACACCGTAGGGATTCTACGATTCTAAATGTTCTGCCAATTTGCTGTATATTTCCCTCTTGCATTAGATCTCCCAAAATGCATCACCTCACATTTGTCTGAATTAAATTCCATCTCCCGTTTTTCTGCCCAAGTCTCTAGGCTGTCTGTATCATGTATCCTCTGGCAATCCTCCTCTCTGTCCGCAGCTCCCCCAGTCTTTGTGTTGTCTGCAAACTTGCTAATCAGGCCACCTACGTTCTCCTCCAAATCACTTATTTCTATATTACAGACAGCAGGAGTCCCAGCGCTGATCACACATCTCCAATTTGAAAAATGCCCTTCCAGCGGTACTCTGTCTTCTATGACCCAAGCCAGTTCTATGTCCATCTTACCAGCCCACTGCAGATCCCATGTGACTTCACCTTTTGTATCAGCCTGCCATGAGGGACCTTGTGAAAAGCCTTGCTAAATTCCATGTAGACAACACCTACAGCCCTGCACTCATTAATCATCTTAGGCTTTTTTTGAGGAAATGACAAAGTCAAGTTAGAGAAACAAGACCTTCCCCACATAAAGCCATATTGCCTATTGCTAATAAGTCCATGTTTTTCCAAATGTGAGTAAATGGTATCCCTAAGAATCTTCTCCAATAATTTCCCTACCCCTGACGTAAAGTTCACTTGCCTGTGATTTCCCAGATTATTCCCCTTGCACTTCTTTAACAAAGGAACAATGTTGGCTATTCTGCAGTCATTTAGGACCTCTCCTGTGAAGAAAGAGGTTACAAAGATTTTTGTACAAGGTCCCAGCAATTTCCTCACCTGTCTCCCTCAACATTCTGGGATAGATCCCATCGGGTCCTGGGGCCTTGTCTACTTTAATGCTTTTCAAAACACCCAACACCTCCCACCTTTACCCCTCCCGAGACTCAGCATCCACCATGTCCTCCTTTCTGAATACCTATACCGATGCAAAGTTCTCATTAAGGACCCCACCCAGTTCCTCTGGCTCCACTCAGAAATTTCCTCCTTGTCCTTGAGTGGACCTACCCTTTCCCTAGCTACCACCTTGTTCTTTATTTATGTATAAAATTCTCCTTGAAATAGTTCCTTGAAAGTGGGTACTTGTGGCATGCTGCTCATCACCGGCCTCCAGTCTGAAAAACAGCCTTCCACTACCATTCTGTTTCTCCTACCTTCTAGCCAATTTTGTATCCAAATGGCTAGCTCTCCCTGGATTCCATGTGATCTAAACTTGCTAACCAGTCTACCATGTGGAACCTTGTCGAACACTTTGCTGAAGTTCATATAGACAACGTCCACCGCTCTGCCTTCATTAATCATCTTTGTCACTGCTTCAAAAATACTCAATCAAGTTAGTGAGGCATAATTTCCACGCACAAAGCCATGTTGGCTATCCCTAGTCAGTCCTTGCCTTTTCAAATGAATGTAAGTCTTGAACCTCAGAATCTTCTCTAACATTTCACCCATCACTGATGTCAGGCTCACCGGTCTGTAGTTCTCTGGCTTTTCCTTACCACCTTTCTTAAATAGTGGCGCCACATTAACCAATTTGTAGTCTTCTTCAGCTCTCCCAAGGCTATCAGTGATACAAATATCTTGGCAAGAGACCCAGCAATCACTTCTGTTGCTTCCCATATAGTTCTAGGGTACAAATGATCAGGTCCCGGATATTTATCCACCTTTATGCATTTTAAGATGTCCATCACCACCACTCTAATATGGGCACTTTTCAAGATGTCACTATTTATTTCTCCAAGTTTTATATGACGAGGCCCTTTAGTGAGTCAGCAATTTCTTTTGGATGTCTGACATGCTGATCCTAGCACAAACTTGAGTATGTCTGGGCAAACACGTGGCTTAACTAGCCATCTCCACGTCAGGCGCAACCATGTCTAACTCTTTCAGACTTGGCTCTACTCTGCCAAAACCACAACTCCTCTAAGATAACTGTTATTTTTCTCCAATACTAACCATATGCTCAAACACTTCTCTTCCTTCCTCTCTATACCTATCTCCAAGTGTGAAAAAGTTATACTTTCTTTAGGCCATCTCTTGCCTTTTAGGCTTATCCCATTGCATCTTTCCCAACAACCGAAATGTCCTCTAACTCTGCGTGGCACAGCCTCAATATACATTTCTGTATTGTTTCTTTCCCATCTTTCCTCGAGCCCTTTTCAGATTTGTCACATTAATGATTGATTGAACGTAATTAAATCCACTGAATTTAGTTATAGTATTAAGAATGCATCTTGCATCTCTTCTAGGATGTTTGTCCTTGAATTGTTTTCATGAAGCATTGTTGTTTCAACCCTGAAAGTATAATTGAGTGGGTTACTGTTTCAAACTTTTGTCACCAGAAGCATGAAAACACCTAGCGCCATGCTGTAGTTATAGATTTTTGTCTTTCCAACTTGCACTGTGTTTTAGACTGTGTTGAGATGTCTAAGACTAGAGTGAAGTGAACTGTCAGCAGTGATTGTGCTAAAAATCAAGAGGTATTTTTTTTAAATAAGCCAAAGTCTAGATATAACAGACACTGAAATTTTGAAATGATCAGAAATTCTGGGTGTTTTCATCAGAGCAAATGTTTGAAAGGTTTAATGCCTGGAGCATGATTTAGTTTGTTTTCTCCATGGTTGTTGCTGAGCCTTGCGTATCTGAAGTGTTTCGGCTTTCGCTTAACTCAGTAAGCACTATTGTACCCTGCTAAAGTATTTTAGTTACAGAGATTGTTTACTTCTTTTGTATTTGACCCATGATAAGTCAGTCCCTTGACAATGTCGCAAAGGGCCCCAGCATAGCTTGAAAAACACCTGAATGCTTAAACAGCCTAAATGCCTAAAACCTTGAATGCCATGTTATTTGAAGATGAGCAAACTTTTTATTTAGGTTGAATGATTGGATTAAAAGCATGGTTCAAGATCACTTGGACTATAGTGCCTTTGTGGGCTCTTTGAAAAGCTTTATCCCTTGAACTTTTATTATTCAAACGTTAATCATGTTCCTTATGAAACTGTTGTGGATTCTGCTTACTTCACAGTTTCTGGAAGAGTATTACATGATCTAAAAAATTTCCGTAAATCACTTTTCCTACCTTTCCCTCATTCTTTTGCTTCTGGTTTGAGTTTTAACATGTATTTTATAATGTCACTTAAGGGAGATGAGAAACATTTATCTGAAAGTCTGCTCACGGACATATTTTTATAATTCCAGTTTTGGACAGGAAGTTATCTGTGAGACAAAGCAGAGCTGAACTGGTTAAGAAGGGAGTGTTGAAAGAGATTCCTGAACAAGGCAAGTATACTGTGCGCAGAATGAAGAGAGATTTGATATATCTCGATTTAAGTGACATAGTCAAATCAAGTAATGGATAAGATGGATCCCTTCTCCCACTCAAATCCTTGGGGAAACATTGTGATTCAGTAGCCTTTGTATAGCATTGTATCGTGTGTCTCACCAAAATTCCATCAAGGCTTAACTTTGGAGTTATGAAAATTTCATATAATTTCCACTCTACCTGTGAAAAGTATCCAGCTTAATGCAGTCTTGGATTGTGTCCGGAAAAAGCATTTGGAGCTGAGCAGCACCAGGGTGAAGTGCACATGGTTATAATTCTGTTGCTGGCACCAACAAACTGATGCACTAAATAGTGTGATTTTTCATTTTATCTTAATGTATATTCCTGCACAGTATCAGTGCTGATACACTAACTCCTGGTGACACGGGTGGTAATAGTTCCTTCAGCAAATATGCTGAGTCTTTCACACATGGCTGCAGGTTGATGTGATTGCTGCTGTTCAGCTTATAGCTAAAGCTAAATAAAGAGAAAGCAAGCAATTTTCTGTGGTGTACTCTCCTGTGACAAATTCCATAAAGTGCCAACTTGGCTTGTAAGTAATTTGGAAGAAACTTCTTTACCCGGAGACTATTTAGAATATGGGTGCACTAGTGAATGCAGGGAACAAAAAGTTCCAGTTGCTGTTTGAAATTTTGGAAGAAAGTAAGCCGATTATTAGTGTGTAATTTCATGACATATGGTAAAATATAGCAATCACAGGCAGGAAATAATGATGTTGTGATGATGACTGAGACAGACAACAGTTCCATTTATTACCACTCATCAGATTAGATGCAAGAATGCCCAATTTCAAATGTTTACAATTTATGCTATGGGAAAAAAAATTGCTAATTAGTTAGCAAATCTGCAGTATTTGATGGAGGCATCTCTATGGCAAAGGCAATTAAGAACTATAGGCTCCTAGTGCTTCTGGGGTAATTCATGAAAAGATGAAGGCTTGCGCATATTCCTTTTATTCAGGGGACAAGTTCAATTAACATTGCTTCTAGAAAATATGGATTATCGGTGTTTGACTCCTTAGCTCACTGTCGCTTGTTTGTGGTTGCTAGAACTGCACATTAATATGTGGAACTTCTTCTCTGCAAAGAAAAGAAACATGCTCAAGCCTTGTACCTTCTTCGATTTGCACAGGAGCTAAAGAAACCTATTGACCATTGGTGAGGCATTGCCAAGGCACGAACAAGCAGTTTAACCTTGAACAGATAGCATCCCCTATTGTCTTGTATTTTAAATTGTTGTGATTGCTTCACATTTGGTATTCTTGTATTTTCTTTTCCCTGATGTGTACAAATCAAAGCATTTGCAACACATTTCCATTTATGTTGAGGAATTGGGAGTGTAACAGAGACTAGATTGGGCTGTACATGAACTATTGTGTGCAAGGTTTTGTCTGGTAAAATCCTCACTAACTGGCTTACAAATTGTTTTAATACAACAGTAGCCAAGGCCATGTCAACTGTATTTGATGACTACATTGTTGGGGAAACCATAGATTTTGTTGGCCATATGATAATGTATTGCTTGCCAGTCTTTATGCTGTGGCTTGCTGAGGTTGTATTATGGCAGAAACTCATTATGAATCTCTGGTTAGGCCTGAGCTGTATTACCATGCACAGTTCTAGGCACCACATGATTTGAAAAGATATCAAGGCCCTGAAGAGGGGATTTACCAGGATGATAGCAGGAATTAGAGTTCATTTATGTGGAGAAATTAGCAAAGGCGCAATTGTTCTCCATACAGAAAAGAATGTTAATGGGAGGCACTCAAAATTGAGGAGTTTTGTTAGAGCAAGTAGGGAGAAAATGTCATCTCTGGCAAGTAGCTTGGTAAGAAGAGAAAATAGTTGGGGGAAAAGACACTTGGAGGGGAAGTGGTGACAGGGTCTTTACCCAGAGAGCTATTGAGATTTAAAGTGAATGCTGTCAAAGGGTGGTGGAATTGAATTCTAGAGGTATTGTTAAAAGACATTTGGTATTGGCTTGAAGAGGATTGTCATAGGGTTATTGGAAAGACTGAGGTAAGGACTGAAATTGGACAGCTGTTTCAAAGACTTGGTCTGTTGAACTGAATACCACCATTCAGTTCTATAAGATCCTGTGATCTGAGCCCAGTCTTGCAGCATTTTAGGATGATGCCTTGTAAAATATCTGACTTGAAATATTTTGAATCTTATGGTTCCATCTTATTTTCATATTGACCACCACCCTTCTGTTAAAAAGGAAAGTACCAATCAAGGGTACTAATGACCAAACAGGTCTTTAAAATTATGAAGGTATTCAATCAGGCAGACATCAGTTTCTTCCATTTTTGGGAAAAATCTGAATCTACTGGTCATAAACTGATCATTATCAAATCCAATACAAATTCAGGCAAGACTTCTTTATCTGCCAAGTAGTTTGAAGGTTAACCACGTAAAATAGTTGTGACATGTAGCACATATGCATTTAAGAGCAAGCTAGATTAGTTTGAGGGAGAAAAGACTATGCAGATAGAGATGGATGAACTAGAATGGGAGGGGATGTTTTTGAAGCATTAACACTAGCAGTGACCTGTTTCAAATAATTCAACATAGTTCTGTGAAGTTGGACATCAAATTGAAGTTTTTTTTCCTGGAAATATGAACCCTTCAATCTCTGGGTCATGAATCAGCTGTTGGGCAACACTGAATATTTATAATATCGAAAAGGAAAGTGTGTTTGCTGAAAGCAAGTCCATGATCTGCTCAAAGATAACAATCTTCCTCATTGATTGCCTGAGAAACTCTGCTGCAGATTGTCTCCACTAAAACATCAGTTTTTAAAATAACTGTCCACCTCCTAAACTGGTGAGAATTTTACAATGCATAGTGTTTTATGTAGTCTAAGAATCTGACCCTCTCAGAAATTCATCAAACGTCAGATCCTGCAGTTTAGGTAATTGTGAAGGCTGCCTGCACAATGGCCACAGGCTACTGCAGTATGCAAGAGCAGAAATAACGTTAGAATTGTGGAAAAGGGATTGAGTGTTGAAATGGGAATCCGAATGACATCGCTTTCCCAGTCGAATTTATTGAACCAGACTGTTCATCACCTGGTCTGATGTTTCATCCTAAGGTAAGCTTCCGGACACACACCTGCAACACCATTGAGGTTATCTATTTCCATATTCATAACATTGTCTGATTTAACACCAACCTTAGCTGATCAGCTGAAAACTTTATCTATGCTTTTGTTAACACTCAACATGACTACTACAGTGCTCTCCTGGCTGGCCTCCTATTTTCTACTTTCTGAACTTGAGGTCAATCCATAGCTCTGCTGCTTATATCTTAACTTGCACCATGTCCTGTTCACCACCACTCCTCTGCTTGCCATCACTCAGTGGCCTCGCCCCACCCTATCTCTGTGAACTCCTTGAGCCCAACAAGCTTCCTCTAGTTCTGGTGTCTTGAGCTTTCCCAACTTGAATCACTCCACCATTGATGGTAATGCCATTAATTGGCGGCTACTCAAGATGTTGAATGGCTTTATCTTTTTTTTCTCTCTTGCTTTCGTCCTTTAAGGCACTGCTTGAAATCTACCTCTTTGACCAAGGTTCTAGTAATCTGCTTTAATATATCCTTAAACTGGTTCGCTGTCAAATTTTATTTGATGATGCACCATGGGATGTTTTATGGCATTAAAGACATTGTATCCACACCAGGGAACAGTCACCTCCTTTCATCAAAGAAAATGTTACCAGATAGAAATTTGAAGAAACTAAATCTTTGCATTCAGCAATCTGGCATACCTTCGATGTTCCATTTGAGGAAAGTAAGTTTTTTGACTTTTTGCATTTTGGCAAGTTACTTGTTATACATAACTGTTTTGGGGTGAGCACAAAATAAACCAGTTTGAAGTGTTTTAATAGAGGAAAGAAGAGAAACTGTTTGCACAGGCAGGTGCTTGGTAACCAGGTAACAGATTTAAAGTACTTGGTAAATGAACCAGAGGGGAGATGAGAATTTTTTTTAACAGCAGGTTATGATGTCCTGGAATGCATTGCCTGAAACATTACTGGAAGAAGTTTCAAAAATAACTCTGATCAGGAAATTTACATGTGCTTTAAAAGGAGAAATTTGCAGAATGCAGTAACAGACCAAGGCAGTGGGACTAATTGAATGACTCTTTAAGAGCTGGCACAGGCATGATGAGCCAAATCACCACCATTTGTGCTGTACAATTTTATAACCACATACAAGTGGACTCGGAAGCCAACAGCTTAGATTTTTCTCTGCTGCAAGTTTGCATTCAGCACACACAATATCTGGTTCTAGTCCAGTTCGACAACATATCTGATTCTGATGCACTTTAGTTTTACCTGTTGAAACGATCTGATTGGTTTAATGCCAGCAGTTTCCGCGGTCAATGAAAGAAAAATTGTTTATTCTTAATATGCTCACAAATGGGCCTGGGTTCAAAAGCTCTCCATACTTATTTTTGTATTCATTTCCGGGATGTAAATGCCTCCAGAATTTATTGCCAATGCCTAGTTGTCCTGAGAAGGGGCTGGTGCACCAATGTTTTGAGCTGCTGCAGTCAGTGTAATGAGGATGCTCTCCCCAGGCTCTTGGAAAAGAAGTAGCAGGATTTTCACCCAATGAAAATAGAACAAAAACAACATTTGTCCTACACCAGGATGACATGCAGGAAGCGATGGTGCTTCTACGTACCTGCTGCTCACGTCCTTCCAGATGGTGGCGGTCATGAGTATTGGGAGATACAGTTTGACAAGTGAGCTGCTGCAATATGATTTAGGAAAATTTGGGTAGTTGGACGTGAGAAAGAGTTAAATTTGGAACTGGTACATGCAATGAGTTCATTAGTCAGAATAATGGAAGTTTTTGATGAGGATTTCACTAGTCAGAGATTCAGTAACCCTAAAAACCATAAAATAAGGAATGGAAGCATTGAAGTAATAAACAGTTTTAAGAGAAATTTGTCTATGCACAAAATTCTTATCTGATGGATTGACCAATCAAAAATAGAGGCAGCAGTAGACTCTATAACAGACTTGTAAACAAAAAAGTTTGAAAATTAAAGAAATGCACAAAGAAAGGAACATAAAATTGGGGTGCAGTGGATAACTTTTTCACTGCCACTGCAGCCAAGATGGATTTGTGGCATTTGGTGCTAAAAAAATCTGATTGTTCATTTTTTTTTCTTTTAATCTTTCATTCTTCAGGAAAGTATTTTATGATGCTTTTTTGTATTTAAAAGAAGATAGATAATTGCAATGGTGAATGTAATCTGTTGAAAAACAATTTGTAGTGACCAGCTGCAGATGGTTTGGAGCAGGAGGAAGAAGAGGAGACTTGGCAGATAATGAATATTCGGAAATATAAATAGAAATGGTAGATATCACCACCTTTACCACATCATCGTGCATTAAGTCCAACTGCATTTTGAAAAGGATAACTGACATCAACTTGCAACTTTCTTTTAGTTCGGTGCATTACTTTCTGATGCAAGTAAAGCTGCCAACCTTGAAGAAATGTTTTGGAGTCTCCAGGCATTAAAGATTAATTTTCTGTCAACTGTTTTCAGTAACTCTGGAGTAAAATTGTAGGGTGTGTTAAAAATAAAATCAGGTTTTTGCATTTGCTTTGAACACAATTGTTTATTAGCTATATAAATATTCAAGCTGGGAGAAGGCTGTCTGATCAACAAGTCAGTAGTCATCACAGGATAATTTGTGTCTGTTTACTTCCTATGTGACTGTGGGACCATGGAGCCCTGTGCTGATAAATGTTTTTGACAGTCAGTAGTGGGAGTATGGGGATGGGGCACTTGGAAATAGGATAGTCATGGGAACATGGTCAACTAAAGTTGACAACCTTAAATGAGTGATGGTTCTGAGGCTATAAGATGGGAACTGTGTGCACCTGTGATGTAAGATAGGCTGAGTCTCTACCTCTGTGGCATGGCTGTTTTCACAGGAGGACCTTGGTTTTGCTCATGTCCTGTTTGCATCATGAGCCCCCTCAGATTAGAAGAATAATAGTTTATTAATCCCTGCTTTTTGGATGTGGAAAAGACTGAAAAAGATTTCGAAGTAATTCTTGATTGGGCTTTGGAACGTTTTTTTATTAAATGTTCTTAAACTTTTGAAAATCCAATACTAAGCAGTTATTTACAGAATGCAGTGGGACTGAGCACTGATACAGCTGATACAGCCGAGCAGTTAGTGATGGACCCAAATAGATGAGAGGGAAAAAGAGATTGCAAGAGGTAAAGCACAGAGAGCAGCTGATGGCCTTAAATTATTAATAGTGTCTCCAATTAATGAGAAAGTAGATACTACACAAGATTTTTCGTCCTTATACTTTGTGAACAGTAACTGCACTAAACTTTGAGAGAACAGGTTGAGTGCCAGATCTTTGTGTCCAATTCTAATGCTGTTTGCACTAATGGTTTGTAAATGGTCTTAAGCAGTGACTCATTCACAGTCTTTGCAGAATCATAAAACACAGTTCGGTGGAAGGCCATTCAGCTCAGCGTGCTTGTGACTACCCTTTATGCAGTTGGGCGCACTTTGCCCGTAGTTCTGCAAATTTATCCTCCAGTATATATCCAGTTTGTGTCTCAAAGTTGTTCCTACCACACTTTTCTAATAGTGTATTCCAGGTCATAATTCACTGCATGAAGAAAATTTCTGCTCACCTTCGCTTTGGAACTTCTGCCAGGTACCTTAAATGAATTCCCTGGTTGCAGGCTTTCCCATGGGTGGAATCAGTTTCTTCTAATCTACTATTCTTTGAAGACTTACCCTGCTTCTATTTCTTCCATTCTGCAGACGGAGAAGTTAACAGCAAACCTGCCCAGAACAATACACTAAAGAATGGGCACACGGTTCCTGTGGGTGAGTTATCTACCTCAACAGAGGCTGAACCAGTCCCCGGAAATGAAAAAAGGTCGAGCTTTTCAAAACCTTCACAAGGAAATGAGGAGAGAATAAAGAACTCCACCGAGGAACCACAAAAAACTAAAGGTAAGAAATTGGGGTACCCAGGTGGAAGATAAGGTGTTGTTCTTCAAAATTGTGTTCCAAGTTGCTGCTTGGAGGACTCAACATTTGAGTTCTCCAATTTCAAATAACTATTCCACCCATGCCCCGGTTCCCCTTCCAGCCACGAACTGGATTTATCCCTCCCATCGATCAACCAGGTCGTACCTACCACCAGTGTCCACCTATCACCACTATTCCACCTCCACCACCCCCTCCCCTTTATCTGCAGTTTTCCCTACCCCCACATCCAGTCCTGAAACAGGGTGATACCCGAAACGTTGACTGCTCCTTTCCGCCAGAAGCTGTCTGGCTTGCTGTGTTCTTCCAGCCTCCTGTTTGTCTACCTTGGATTCCAGCATCTGCAGTTTTTTTAAAATCTATAATCTCAATGCTGCTTTGACTAAGATAGGAAACCTTTGTTTTCCCAGATCTAAACTGTTTTTAATTCAGTAATTAAAACATCCTTGTTCATTATTTTAAATAATAAGGAAAGCTTACCAAAAGAGAGAGTGTGCCTCACCTTTGCAATATAAATGACATTGTTGTGCAGTGATAATGAAAATTAACTGTTTTTCAAACATACTAAGTTAAAACCTAGAAAGCTACTTCATTATTGCAGAACACAATGCACCCAGCTCACCAGACAGATTTTTTTCAAGTTTCATGATTGTAGATGTACGAGTAAATATCACACAGTCACATGTTCGAACAACATCAATACAGCTTAGTACAATGGAATGGCACATTAATTAATTATCCTTGTGTCTTTTTGATCTCCATTTTGAGAGCTTTGCTGAGTCACAGTCAAAGCAAATTTCCTGCATAAGGGCAGAACATGTAACTTATGCATCTGCTGGTGTTATTTCTTTAGACTGGAACTATCTGGTCTTATTTCTCTCTTTTCTGTGTACCTCATACCTGTGTACCTGTATGATTTGATTCCTTTTTAACTTAGCTCAATATCTTGCAAATTTAATTAATTAATTAGCTCAATCTTACTTGGTTGCCCTCTGTTACACTAATGATGGTGTGCAGAGTGTAACTGATAACTCAAGGAATTAAGACCATTAAAACTAAAACTAAATGTTATATGTATATAATTGGTGTGTGCTCCCTCATGTTCCAAGAAAGGTTCTTTAAAGCAGAATTATTTTGCTTGACCGAGTTACTCTACAGCAGTACGTAACTTGTTAATTTCCCCTTTTGGCTTAATTTACCAAATGATAGAAGATATTGTCATTGAAGTAAATGAACAAGCTTGTGGAGTTCCTGCATTCCTCTCAATGTCTGTCCAACATGACATTCCCAATTAAAATATCTCAGTGCTCCTAATGCTACGAGCTGGATTTTATCAAGATACCCACAATTTTGCAGGCATCTTGAGGGAGCAGGGGCTACGCTTTGTCGAAAATTGTAAACGTATTCAAATTATAAACCACCACCCCCCCGGCCCAATCCACCTACCCACATATCATAGGACATGTGTAAAGACAATCAAATCAGATTGAGGTAGGGCAAGTCAAGACAAAGCAGAAAAATATGCAGAAGAATGGAGAGGTCGTGCAGGATTGTAGGACTGATGGAGGTTACAAAGAAGGGGAAAGTTTGGTTACATCAGCAAGATCAAGGGAAAGGAATGAAAAATAGAATTCCATTTTATTCTAACCAAGGATATAGTGCAGTGAAATACTATTTAAACTTCAATGATAGCTTTTCTGCTGCCTGGTAAATAACTGTTTGTAAAGGAGTTTAGTAATTTATTGAAGTGTTTTGTAATTTACATTCTTTTCTTCAGTATAGTCATTTTTGAAAGTTAAGAGGAGACTTCCACACCAAACATGTGCTTCTCCAAAGCTGTTTATCTCTCGTTTTTAGTGAAGGGTCCACATTTCTTATCCATTATCAGTGCCCAGATTTTTTTTTGTGTTCCTCATTCCCAGTTTTGTGCTTCCTCTGTTTGATGTACGTTTTCTTTCAATGTTTCTCAGCAGAGGCTGCAGATAGACGTCCATTGTCAGAAATGGAGCCCATGCGTGATCAAAAACAGGCTTTACTTCCTCCTAAACGACCGCTGTCAGCTCCCGCTCTGGAGGCAGGCGAGGGGCAAGTAAAAGATCCTGGAGCTAACTTGACCGCTGCCAAGGACGTCTCTTCCATTATTTCCTGTTTCTCCACTTCTTGTTCCACAAATACCACTGACTCTTTCGCCACAACTACAAATACTACCAGCACGACTACCACTACTACGGCTCCTGCCAAGCAACCTCCAATTCCACCTCCAAAACCCAACCGAAATAGCAATCCTCTCTTTGGTAAGTTTCTGCAAAGCACTGTGCACCATGTTTTGCAAAATAAGCTAGAGGTAGAATTTTGAAATGTGTAGCAATTACAGATTAATGTGCTTACCACATTCCTGTAGCAAATGGAGCTCAGAATGAGGAGGTCAATGTTTATAACATAAAAGTTTAAGATTTTGTGTCTGAAGAAGCCAAAATTTGAATTTTATTTCTATAGTGAGAAACGGAGTGCTGTGGAGAAGCTAACGGATTTGAGTCCGTACGCATGAATGACTTAAAACTGAATTCACTGGTACAAAGAGTGATCAGAAAACCTTATTGAATATTGGCCTTATCCCAGAGGATTGGAGTCATAATTGAGGAAGTAATGTTTTAGTTGTAAAGAGTTCAGTTGTTGTCCAAGTACAGTTGTTCCCATCTGGAATCAGTTTGTGCATTGAATGCAAGTAATGTATATTGGCATGGGAAAGGGATTTCAGGATAGCCAAAGTGTTTAGAGCCAAATTAGTATTTTTTTAAAAAGTGTAGGCACTGTTACAGTCTATGTACAGCGTAGATTCATCAGAATAATACTGGAGCTTAAAGGCTTTAATTTTCAGAACGGTACATAAACTTCAGGTCTAACAATGATTTGATTTATAACAATTGTTTATAACAATTTAGGGATTTGATGGGGTGCATTCAAGGGCAGCTTCCTTGGGTGAGAGTGCAGAACAAGAGGGCTTGACCTTAATGTTGGACTGAGGCCATCTAGAAGCTAATCCACCCTTTTCGCACAAATGGTAACTAAAAACAGGAAGTTGCTTCCCCAGAAGCCTGTGAATGGTTTGTGATTAAATTAAGTCTTCTTAAGGCTGAGATTGACAAGTTTTTTTTGGGCAGGTAGCAAATACCTAGGGATATGGAAAAGACAGGTGAATGGAGTTGAGATATAGATCTGCCATGATCTAATTTAACGGTGGAATAGAGTTGAAGGATTGTCTAGCTGGTACTTACCACAATAATTGTTTCAATCCCTGTACACAGTAAGGTTAATACTATAACAAATGTTTTTGAACTTGTCCAATAACATTTCCCTGTTGCTGTGTCCATATATAGCAGCATTACTCACTCCTGAAAATCTTGATGCAGCATTACTAACTTGTTGCCCTTCTGATGTCATAAATCTTTTGTCTATAAATATATATCTCATGTTAATGTAAAAACTTAAGGCATGATGGTGTGGCTGGTTGAAACTTAACCTGTGTTCTTCTAAGGCAGAGTCGTAAATGTGAAAGATTTAAGAAAGGAATGTTCAGCCTTGTACTGAGCATGGTTTGTGCTCGAGTCATTATGCCATATTTAATATTTTCATATATTGAACACAACTGCCTGCCATAGGATATTTTGTTCTGTCCAGCCAACCATCATAAAGCTGTTGCCTTGCTGTTTGTTTGACTCACAAGGTCTCACGATGCCCTTATCAGATGAAGTTAGTTACTAAGCAATGAATAGTGGTACAATTCTTAAACAGGCAAGTTTTGGAACGCTGACTCAATTTGCAAAATTCTGTTTCAGCGGAACTTAGTCATATCATGACCCCTGGCCTGGTTGTGCCAGGTAAGCATTCACCACCAGGATCCCATAGGAGGATAAGCTTCAACCCACCTGTGGCTGAGCCAAACAACACTACCCAGAATGTGTGTGAGAACAAGGAGAGACCGCAGCTGCCAATGCAAGTATCGACATCAGCACATGCACCTACATCATCGCCAGCATTGCCTTCGCGCCCACCTTCTGCTCCAGAACCTGCTCCTCGTCAGTCCCTCCCACCAAGAGTTCCAGTCAAAGCTAATCCACCTGTATTGACATTCTGTCATACCAGTGTACAACATGAAAAAGAACCTGATCAGCAGCCTCACCCTTCATCTGATGAATGTCCCGAGCTGCTTCCGACTCGCCAATCTCAAGTTCCTTTGCACATAATGATCCAGCAAGCATTGTGTAGCCCTCGACCAGTTGTCACTGCAGCTGATGGTTCGAATACAGCAAAGTCATTGCTTTTTGAGACTGCCTTTGATGATGCTAATAAGAGCCGGGCTTTGCAAGTTACCTTGGAGAAATTAAAATGGTGAGTGCTTGTTTTATTTCACATGACAGTTGTTTACGTTTTGTGTACTTAGACGCAAGTGCTTCTTAGTGCTGTGTGATGAAACTCGAGGGAGAATGGATTAGAAATTTATACTGAGAATGTTACTTGAGGCTAGTAATCATAAACACAACTGTGGACCAGTTGAACTCAATGGCCTGTTTCTCTACTATACATTGTGCGTAATTGCCGTATTGATGCACTTGCATCCAAATTTCAGTGTGCATTGGTGTACCTTTAATCTAAGTTCATTTGTTCTGATTAAGCCAGTTAATTGTTTTAGTGTTCTTGAATTTTGGGAGAGGGGTTGTATTTGTAAACTGACCTGAGTTGATCAGAACTATGGAAAATTCAATCAAATTGAATGGTGCATCACAAATGCTTGGGGTGACAGCAAATACAGTATAGCAGGGATGAAAATTTCACTTAGTTATAGAAGTTGTTTAAAGTGGAGGTTGATCAATACAACTCAATCAGATCACTGTTGATCCCCCTCTGTGAACTAAAGCAACTTGCCATATAATCTGTAAAAGAAGTGTCAAAAGTGGTGTAACCTTCTTTCCAGCAACTTCTAGCGGTGAAACAAAATAAGCCCCTGACAGCATCAGAGGAGCAGGAAGGCTTCTGAAGGGTCTAGGCCTGAAACGTCAGCCTTCCTGCTCCTCTGATGCTGCTTGGCCTGCTATGTTCATCCAGTTCTACACCTTGTTATCTCAGATTCTCCAGCATCTGCTGTTCCTACTATCTCTAAGCCCCTGACAATCACTTTACAAGTAACAATTTATTTATCTAACTCTAACAGTGAACAAATTAACTAAACGATTAACAAACTGAATAAACCCCTTCTAACTACTTCTAATAAAACAAGATTCTAATAGCATACTGTTCCAATAAATATGAAGTTCCACTTATATAAAATAAAATTTAGTGTCTCAAAATTACAGCCAGATTACAGGGTTTCCAGAATGCTCTGTGCTTCTCTGTCGAATGCTCTGTCAGGAATGCTTTGTCTGTAAATTCTTCCATCAGGAATCTTAGCTAGGAGTGCCATGGTGCTGTTGTGAATAGATGGTGCCTTCCCTAAGAGCTGAGAGCTGTTATGTCTAGCAGATGGCAGGTAGCTCAGCGGATTTTCCAACTGCCCCCTTCTGTTATACCCCTGATGACACATCAATTTCTTACAGTCGGATTGGTCCTAGGTCGTCAAAACAATCAGATTCAAATTTGATAGGTTTTAGGTATCTAAGTGCCTGGTTCAAATTGATTGGTTAAATTCAAAAACCTGTTGTCTTGGTAAAAATGATGCTTGGCCTGCTAACAGTATGGCCTTTCGATACAAATATTTCAACTCATATGTACTTGCGAACTTTCAAGCTGCTCACGGACACCTCCAAGCGTAGAAAAAGCACAATCTTTTAAAGGGACTGCACAATGCTCCCCCCACCCCAGTATTTTACAAACACCAATATTTTACAATACCATATTCTAACATCCTGCCTCCTAATCCATAAATACTCTCCCCAACTTTGCAACAAAGTTTAAAGGCCTGCATAGTTGAAGGGCCTGCTTGTGTATACTACTACATCTACATTACATGGTGATGAGCAGAAGGAATGACTGTGTTTGTGCTTTAGTTCTGTCAGCATCATAGACACAAAAGATAGTTTAAGATTTGGGGAAAAATGGGGTTTGTGTCAGAATTCCTTGAAATGTATTCGTTCAGTTCTAATTTTTGACCAACTTTGGTGAACGTCCTTTGAAAAAAATTGAGTGAGTTCTAATTCTCACTGATATGCAAACCTTTATTTATTAGACCCTGTGTATTTATATTCCTTTACTCTTTAAAATTCTAATTCATGACATTTGTGACTTTTGCTTTTGAAATTCTGTTTCCACTCTCCCATCCCAGAGGGTATTATCTCCTTGCTTAGCTATTATTGCCTAGTTGTCATTCACCCTCAAGTTAGCCCTATCCAAATTGCATTATTCTTGATGACCTTGCACAGTGATAGCATCTGGCCTTGTAGGTCCACCTGGCAAAGAGGTGTACCATGATGTGTCCAAGCAGGTTAGTTTAAAAATATTTTCATTGTTACAGGTGGTAGTATCCCTACTTCTAGGGCAGAAGATTCAAGCCCTGCCTGCCCAGGAGGGGCGGTCATGCTTCCGAACAGTCTGATTTAAAAACATTCTTTTAGATGGTAAATGATAGAGGCTATGTGACCCAGAGGATGAGAGACCTGTCAGCTTTGCCAGATTCTCCGATGTTTACAGCACAAAAGATGACCGTTCAATGCATTATGTCTGTGTTGAACAGCAAAGATCTGATTACACTAATCCCACTTTCTAGCTTTTGGTCCACAGCCCTGAAGGCTATGGCAACGCAAGTGAACATCTAAAGGATTGCTTTATATATTCTTCCTATAGTGTGGTGATCAGAATTGCATGCAGTACTCCCAATTGTGGCCTAACCAATGCTTTATACAGTTCCAGTATAACCACATTGCTCTTGTATTCCATGCCTCGTGTAGTAAAGGCAAGAATCACATATGTTTTCTTAACTACCTTATCTACCTGCCCTTCAGAGATACGTCAAAATGCACACGTTTCAGTACGTACCAGGGTCCTGTCATTCATTGTATAATCCCTTAGGTTGATAGCCCTCCTATGTGTCCAAATTGAATTCCATTTGTCACTCCTATGCCCACCAGACCTGTTTACTGATATTCTCCTGCTGTTTACGGCTATCCTTCTCAGTAGTTACCACCCTACCAATTATCATGTCGTCCATGAACTTCTTGATCATGTCTCCTAAGCTTATCAATAATGTACGTCAAAGACAACAAGAAACCCAACACTGAGCCTTATGGAACTCCATTGGAAACAGACTTCCAGTCGCAGAAAGATCCTTCCACCACCACCCTTTACTTCCTGCCTGTCAGCCACTTTGGATCCAGTACCACTTTGATTTGGATCACATGGACTCTTGCTTTCTTGACCAGTCTGCAACTATGAACCTTATAGACTTTAGCACAGCTTTTAATGTCGATCACATCAAATCAACACCCTGGGTACCTCTTCAAAAAAAAAATTGATCAAATTTGTCAAACATGATTCTCCCTTAAATCCATGCTGATTATTCCTGACTAATCCATGGCTTCCCAAGTACAGAAATGTTCAGTCCCTCAGAATTCTTTCTCTTAACTTCTCCACTGTTGAGTTTAGACTGATTGACTTGGAACTTCCTGGTCTATTCCTCCCTATTTTTTAATAATGGGACAATGTTATCAGTCCTCCTGTCCTCTGGCGCCTCATCCATTCTTTCCTCACCTGTTTCTCCATTCCCAGCATAGTGTGCTTCATGGCATTTGGTGTGGGAACCTTGGGTGATTGTCGTCTCCCAAACTGTGAATTGCCCAGTTTATGCTTTTCATCACCTGCTGCTCCTGCAACTTTTCAAGTTCAAACTTGTACAGAACAAAAAGTGAACTGAATATTTAAAATTCCTCTATCTACTCCTCAGGTATTCTCTACAAACTCCTTTTGGGTTCTACCCTTTTCCTTTCTCTAATTTCATCTCAAGGTACTGATTCATGCTCTGATGTGGTTCCACAGGTCATGCTGATGTCCTGGTTTGTAAGCTTTCGCAGATCGTCCTTGCTCTTGTCTATTTTCCAGCAGGAGTTGCTTTTGAAAACTTAGGACAGAAATACCCTACTAGTTGTTGCAGCTCTTCCCTTAAAGGTAATGTCACTGGGTGAATAATCCAGAGCCCCTTGCTAGTACCCTGGTAACTCAGGTTCAAATCTCACCACAGCAACTGGTGGAATTGAAATTCAGTCTATATACCTGAAATATGAAGCTAGTCTCTGTAACGGTGACAGAGAGTATAATTCTTGTTAAAAGCCCATCTAGTTTATTCATGTCCTTTAGAGAAGGAGATCTGCCATAGTTACCTCATCTGACCTATGTGTGACTCCAAATTCACAGTAGTTGATCAAGTAATAGATAATTGACTCTTAGATACCCTCTAAAAATGGCCTAAGAACCCACTCAGTTTGAGAGCAATTAGGGAAAGCAACTCTTGCCAGCAATGCCTACATCCCATGCAAGATTTTTTTTAATATAAATGCTCACAAGGTTGTTGCCTGAGGGTTGTTGCACGTTCTATCGAATTGCCCTGACTAAAATCTGTGTACCCAAATAAACATAACTTAGAAATAAAAGTAGCAAGTGCTGGAAATATTTGGTATCTGTAGGTGAAGAAACAGAGCTTGAATCTCGAGCTACGAACATTTTTATACAACAGCTTTGAGTCTAGACAGCTCAACAGTACAAAAGGAAGTCAATCAGCCCATTCCATCAGCGCCAGATCCTAGACCTGTCAATTAAGCCACATTTCCCTGTCCTTTCCCATAAAATATTCAAATAGTATTATATACTGTATTTTTATTACAATACATTGTATATAGCATTCAATATTATGAATTCTGCACCCTTTCTTGTTCTGGCAGGGAATTCCCAAATAGCCTTCTATAATTAAGTCTCGTAGTCTCTCCCTTTTATCTAAGGGGACGGTTTTAAAGTAATGTCTTTCAGTTACCAGCTCATTGATTACTGAAAGTGGTTTTCCCCTAATGACCCTACCAATCACAATTTTCAATACCTCTCATCAGATCTTGTCTTGATTTGCTGTTTATTGAAAGTCTCAGTTTCTCTTGTCTGTTTTCACCTGTGTTTCACCTCACTGCTTCTTCTCGCTCCACACTGAAGTAGGATGTGCAATATTCTAACTACAGCTCAACCAAAACATTGTGTTGACTCAACATACCTCTTTACTATGAACTTCATCGCTTCATTTTTAAATATAACAGCTTTATCAACTCGTTCTTCCATCTTAAACATATCAAGTTTGCAGTTTTTAAAATAATACAACATAAGAGCACGTGCATTTGACTTACTGTGCCAGTGAAAGTGCTCTACAATTCATTCTACTTTCCTGTGTTTTCCACATAGCCCTGCAAATTCTGCTCCAAATGTTTAGCCAATTCCTATTTCAAAGTTACTGTTGAATCAGCTTCCATTCCTGTTTTCAGGCAGATTGTTCTAGGCTGTCATAATTGACTACATTTAAAAAAATTCGCAATACACAGCTGCTGCTTTTGCAGATTGTTAGATCTGGGTCGTCTTGTTATTGATCTTCCTGCATTAACAGTCTCTTCCTCATATCCAGCCTATCCAGTGTGGAGTATAATGTTTCCCACATGAACCAACAGAGTTTTTTGTTAAATAACTAACTCTGTTTTGTGTAACCTGATTACCCAGCCCCTCAGATGATGAAAACACTGAGGATGAAGAGGAGGAAGAGCAGAGGCCCAAGAAACAAGAATATCCAGCACTAGTTTCATCAGTTGTCATCATTCCAGAACTTGTGAGACAGGAAGAAGACGTGAGCGACTCTGATGATGATGGTCCAGTTCTGTACAAAGATGACTACGATGAGGACGAGGGAGATGATCAATCCAGTACGTACTTACTTGTATTAATTTAAAATGTCTGTTAATCTATTGTTCATCAGGGAGGATTAGCAGTTACATTTGCATATGTGGAAGTGAGTTTGTGCCAATCTTGTCCATTGAGTGTTAAATCTAGATGTTGTAGTCTGTCTTTCTGTAATCCACCTCAATTTAGTATAATTAATTATCCCAGTACAGATATTAGCCTCTGGTATATTTGCAATGTTATTGTGCTTCCTGTTGTTCATCTTTTTTCCCTTGAAGATTTAAAACATAAGCTCTAAAGTGCTTAGTTCTTTTGGAAGAACAGTAAAGTATTGCTTGCTGTATAAAATCTTATCTTAAATCTTCCATAGGTTCATTGGCCAATAAAGTAAAACGAAAAGACACTTTGGCCCTTAAACTGAGCAACAGACCTACAAAGCAAGAACTTATAGAGAAGAACATCCTACCTCATCAGTCTGATCAAGAAAGACTAGAAATTCGACAGCAGATTGGAACAGCACTCATCAGGTAGGGTGTCCGAAAAGTGGATAGTAGATTTCTCAATCACACAAAGAACAATGCTTTGCCTCGTTTAAATAAATTGTTAAATAATTTGCTTGTTGTTGTATGCTGCATGTACGCTGGTATTGTAGACATAGGAATTTACAGTGGTGAGTGAGCTTCCTTGCTTAATAGAGTATGAACCATGGTTCAGTTTCTAGAATTATCTCCACCAAGTCAGATGGTTGTGGTTTCAAGACCATATCAGAGATTTGAGCACAAAATATCTAGACTGACACTTCAATGTAGTCCTGAGGCAGTGTTGCACTGTCGGAGGTGTTTTTTTTGTGTTACAAAATCAAGGCCCTGTTTGTTCTAGAGTTAACATAAAATTCTGTGGCACTATTTGAAGAATTGCAGACTGCTTCCCATTGTCTTGGCCAATACTTATCCCTCAGGTCATGTCAAACTGTTTCTTATCACAATGTTGTTTGTGGGAGCTATGTGCAAGTTGCCTGTTGTTTCCCTAGACTAGAATACTGACTGCCCATCAAAAGCACTTCTGTGGCTGTAAAGTATTTTTGAAAGTTCTGAAGCTGTGAAAGGTGCAAATTATTATTTTTTAAATGTAGCTTGTGGGTAATTCCTGAGTGTGGCAATCATACTTGTGTTTGCTGTCATTTTATGTATGCTGTTTTTGGATCGTGTCCAAGTCTTTCGACAGTTACCACATTTGTGTAGGTTATGTGTGGCCAATTCATACAGTAGTGTGGTTCACTGTCAGCTGGGTTGATACCTTAACAATAACCCTATACTGGATGTACACTAGGTGGCTGGGGAATAGGGTTTCCAAAACTGCTTCATTCAGGCGTGCCTTATCCGAGAATAACCCCAGTTCCACCCACTCTTGCATTTTGCTTTATCCCTGTATGCAGCTTCTGGAAAGAGAAATCTAAGGCAGACAAGGGTGGTTTTATACACGTATAGATAGGTAAATTCCAGAAACCATGCAGCAACCAGAAGGGAATGGTAATCTGGTACATTATTCCATCCAGGATTTGGATTCCAGGTTGTTCTGAATTAACTGGCTGCTGTAAAAGTAGTTCAGGCAGCTATAGTTGAACACCAAGCCAAGTTTAACAACAGGAGCAAGGTCAGCATATGCACATCCTAAATCATGTTGAAGTGATGGCGCAAGGCTGTTTCTCAGACCTTAAACATCCTTCACCTGTCACGTGAAATAATTTATCCTTTTCTATTTCATCAGGCGTCTGAGTCAAAGGCCAACTGCGGAAGAACTGGAGCAAAGGAATATTCTTAAAAGTTAGTGCACTTTTTATCCTCATCATAATTTTGTTCATATTGTTGTGAGAAGTAAAGTAATACGGTTTTACCCATCACTGGTTATTGTATATTTTTGATGCATTCATCTTGAAACAGACTTTATTGTTGGAGTCCTGTTGAAAGATGGAAAGTATAACAAATTTATGAAAACACAAATTGGGACATTTGTCTCTGAATTGTTAAACAAGCTATTTTGTAAATGTGACAATACTTTTGGTTAGCTGTGCGAAGCCAACCACCAGAACAAGGTATTTTTTAATCCAGATTCAGCCACTACCCCCTTGCCCAGGGGAACACACTCCATTCCCCCTTCCTTTCACTTGTCATTACTTCCAAAAGTCATTCCCTTTGATTGTACCATTAGTAATATTCTACTTCTTTCCCTATTCACATTGCTTACTATATCCCTCTTTTCTTCCTTACTGTAATGCATGCTTGTGATTTCTTCTTGAGTAGTGCTTTATAAAAGCAATTTCATACTCATTGTAAAGTAACTTCCTGTACGTTTTATCTAACCAGTATTGCATTTGCATTGTATAAAAATGCTACTTTTGTTTAGAAAGGCTAATTTAAGCTTTATAAGTCCACTTTCTTCAGACTATCCACTTTACAATTTTTTTGGTAAGCGTATTGTCAGTACCTTACTATTTTTTCTTGCATCCTACTTTTTAATGTTGAAGCTGATTCTGTACCAGTTTAGAAGAAGGACAGGCTAGTCATACATACAAGCAGCATGCTTTGTTTGTTTGGTTTGGTTTGGTAACTTGCTGCCAATCTGTATACTGAGAAAATGTTGGTCCTACTAATATTATTGGATCATGTTCTGTGTTGAAGTAATAAGTGTACAATTTTAACTTGCAGATAAAGACGAGGAACAACATGAGGCAGAAAAGCGAGAGATCAAGAGACGGCTTACCAGAAAGGTAGGTACTGAAGTGGATAGTTTGTAAAGTTTGTGAAAATCTGCTTTGTGAATTAATATCAGATTGCTGTCTGGCCCTTGTTTATTTAATTTGAGTATTGCACCCATCTAAATGCTGCTTTATTACCCTGCATTGCGGAATGTCTAGAGCTTCTCATTCCATTCCTTCTTTGTGAATTTCTAAGAAGGTTTGTAAGAGTTTTATTGTTTAACATCCAATAGAATAATTTTGTTGAAAACTATTTTGACAAATGTTGCATGGTTAAAAGAATATTGTTTTAACCACGAGCCTTCAAAGCAAGTATAACCTGTTTTATGACTTTTATCTTTGATTCCTTTAGCTCAGTCAAAGACCTACAGTGGCAGAGCTCCAAGCTAGAAAAATCTTGCGCTTCCATGAATATGTTGAAGTAACAGATGCCCATGACTATGATCGACGTGCAGATAAACCGTGGACTAAATTAACACCAGCAGATAAGGTGGGGAGGCATTGTCTCTAGCAGAGAGTTGGTTCAGATTGTGTTTGAGTAATTAACTGCTTTTCTCCAATAACTCACTGACTAGCATTGATATTAATCAGTGTTACTACAATTAGTGCGAATTGTGGTGTGTATTGTTGGGACAGTCCTCCTCCTCCTCCTGCATCAAGTCATAGACCTAGGACAAATTTTTTTGATTAGCAATCTTCATCTTTATCAACATATTTTCTTATGAAATTGGTGCCGCTTTGCTCGCAAATTGCAAAAGTATCAGATTCACAAACTAGGCTCTTGCATTAGTGTCAGTATTATTGCATTATTTAATGTTCTACAGTTCCCACTATGCTTTGCTTTTTTGCTACTTGTGCATGATATGCTAACAGTTCACTTTTCCTCCTTCTGCATATGAACATTGAGTCATGACCTTTCAATGATTCTTTGGACCTTTTCACGTGCTTAAAGAGTCAGGCTGGCCCTGGCTTAGCACTTCAGGCTTTTCTTGCATTCCATCTGTTTATCTTGAATTATTAACACCTTTTTCATTATACCACCTTTCAACATTCCATTTGAGATTTATGCTCACAGTACTCAAACCTCTGATATTCGCAGCCACTGTTCCAAACACACATGTGCCCTGAATAGGTGGGTAAAACAGAGCAGTATAGTTACATATTAGTGTATTTGAGGTTCAGTCAAGCTCAGAGAATATCTGCTGTATTGCATCAGGCAAAGGGCAGATGGACTGTTGCTGGTAATTGTTGGTAGGGATTAATGCTGCCATGAATTGTGATGCTAAAGTTATTTTTTTTTCGTAATGCGATACACCAAGCACTTCTAAATAATGTCAATGGCAATTACAATACCATGGGCAGGACAGTCTCAGTGGTTAGCCCTGTTGCCTCTCCTCGCCAAGAACCCGGGTTCAATTCCAGCGTCGGGCAACTGCCTGTGTGGAATTTGTATGTTCTCCCCGTGTCTGCGACAGTTTCCGCCAGGTGCTCCAGTTTCCTCCCACAGCCCAAAGATGTGCAAGTTAGGTGGATTAGCCATGCTAAATTGCTGCACAGTGTACAGGTAAGTGCACAACTTAGCCATGGTAAATGCACATTTACAGGGATAACGTGGGGGGTCCTGGGTCCGGGTGGGATGCTGTTTGGAGGATTGGTGCAGACTTGATGGACTGAAGGGCCTCTTTCTGCACTCTACAGATTCTATGATTCTATGACGATTGGGAAGTTTTCTCAAATGAATAATGGGATAATAATAAAGTTGCACACAATATCAGGAATCAGATCCTCTGACCAGGCTGGTTTATACTATCAGGAAGTCAGGTACCACCTCCTCCCACCCATCTCTTCAGAAACTTAACTACTTTACACTTAAAATATATTTATGCTAATTGCCTCAACTACTTGTGAGAGCAAGTTCTACTTTTTAACTACTCTCTAGGTAGAGCGGTTTCTCTGAAATTCCCTGTTTGGTTTTAATAGCAAATATACTTACAGCTTCTACTTCTGGTCTTCCCACGGTTATAAATGGCTTTTCTAAATCTAAAACCCTTCATAATTTTGAAAATCTCTATTCCAGCACTGTCATCTTTGGTCATTTGGAACGTGTGATCAATTAACTTCCCATTTTCTTTTAGGTCAAGAAATTCCCATTGTTTTATCAAGCTAGTCAACCTTTTACTATATGTGAATGATGCAGATCACTCAAGAGTTAAGAATAATTAAAATTAGATAAAAATACAGGCTAGGCACTCTGCTCTTGCAGTATTAGCTCCTAACATTAGGGCGACGTCATTGCTCCAAACTGCATGTCATAACCAGTGTAGTGACTGGCATGTTTTTGGACTGAATTGTTGAACTGAGCAATAGCTCTGCCACCTTTTTGACTCAGTAATTCAGAATTAAAATAAATCTTTATTTTACAACCTTTCTCTGATGTCCCCGACAGGCAGCAATACGAAAAGAGCTAAATGAATTCAAAAGTACAGAGATGGAGGTGCATGAAGAAAGCAGAATGTATACGAGGTAATCTTTTAACTCCAAAAATGATATTGCTTACAGTGACAATGGTTGGCTTTGCGTGTCCATTAACTTTAAAGTTTCCACCCAAGTGACCCAGGGTAGGAAGGGTGATGAATAGTGAATGCACTGATATTAAGCCTTAAGAATCTTTTGTGCTTGATTTTATATATGATAGCACTGTATTTGCAGCAATTTTCCTCTATCCTTATGCAACAGAATTTTTTTTTCCACTCCTCTACATTAATCATGACATCCAACTGCAAATCCTCTTGGTTACTGTCAGTAAGGACCACAGGAATAGTTATAGACTGTTCAGTAAGATCACACCTCGTCTCTATTTTAACTTCATCTACCCTCATTTACTCAATAATCCTTTATCACTCTTAACTAAACAAAACTTATTAGTTTTGAAGATGCTAATGACCTGAGCATTCATAGCCTTTTGAGATGATCTGAGTGAAGACATTCTTTTCACTTCTGCTTCAAGATAAGAGATCAGCTATTGAGGATGATCCCTAGACCTAAAACCTGCAGTTTCTTTAATAAATATTTATTTTTCTTAAGTGTTTTTAAGACCATTTTAAGATATAATTCATACAATTTGTATGTTGCTGGAACAGTGTGGTATGTGTTCTTTGTCTATATGATCGTTATTTGAACCTTCCTGAGAACTGTCATAGCAACAGGAGAATGGCATTTAGCCCTCAAATTCTGTTCCACCATTCATTAAGCTCATGGCTGGTCTAGATTTTAAATGCTTTCTCCTGGCTTGACTCCATGTCCTTTATACTCTTATCTGGCAGAAAATTCTGTCAGTCACAAATTTAAAATTTCTAATTGATCCCGTATCTACTGCAGTTTGTTAGAGGCAATTCCACACTTTGACAAGCCTGTGCATGAAGAAGTTATTCCCAACTTCTCTCCCTCATGCCTAGTTCTGATTTAAGGCTCTGTTCCTTAGCCCGTGATTCTCATCTCTGCCTGACTCTGCCTCTGTTTGCTGGAGTGTCGTGTCCCTGCCCTACCCCCAACTGCCTGCCTTGTGCCGTGCCACCACCACCGCCCACATCCCCCCACCCCCTCTCCCGGCCTGCCTGATTCTCACCCTCTTGATTCCTGCCCAAGCCCCTCACCATCAGAATCTCAAACTTACCAGTGGTAAAGTTCCATTCTGTCCACCTTGCCAATATTTTTAATTATCTTAAAATCCTCAATCAAGTCATTCCTTCACTATCCATGGTTGAGCCTAGTTGATGTAATTTTTCCTCATTCTCCACCAATCAGTGTTCTGATAAGATTCTGGTGAACTAGGCTATAATTCTTCTAAAGTCGATATCCCTTTTCTAAGGGATGTGTGTGGAACTCTGTTCACAGTACCCTGTATTTGCCTAGGCAGAAATTTGTATGGCTGGAACAAAACTTACTCCGTGTTATTTTCTAGCCTGCTAGTTATAAAGGCTAACGTTAGGTTTTTTAGTTATGTTTGTACGAGATGGTTACATTTCAATGATCTGTTACGTGAGCATCTGTCGATGAGATTACTATATACTACTCCAGCATCATCCTACATTCCCTACACGTAGGCATTTTAACAGGGAGCTCATTGGTTCTCAATGAGCTTAAATTCCGATTGAGTATTCTGCTTTTTAGCCGGTGGTATTGGGCTAATCAGAGTTCCTTTGAATGACAAACTGATTCATTGCGGACCAGTCAATTGAAGCTGTCCCTTTGTGGTTGTCTGTCGTTCAGTGTCAGACTGAGTGTTATAGTTGACTCTTCAGTCACAGGGAGGAGAAAGAGCTTGTGCTTTAAAAGACTTCTTGCATTCTCATAATTTTTCAGAATCAAACCAAATTTAGTCATTGTTAAAGGCTAAGCAATCACCCTTCTGAACCACAGTCAGATCCCACAATCAGTAACGAGAAAAATTACCAAATTTTTGTTTCTAATGAGGAATAAATGCTAATCATGACAGAGGGAAAACTTCCCTTTTTCTCTTTGAATCATGGAATCTCCTGCGGCTACCTGACTGCCAATGGAGCTGTGGTTTAATGTTTCATCCAAAAGACAGCAACTTCAACTGTTCAGGACTCCCTCAGTACTGCACTTGAGCATTAGTGTAAATGCTGCAATTCCAAGTAGGGTTTAATCATTCAACCTGACTCCCAATTATGCACTACTGGCTGAGTCAAGAATAGAAGGAGAAAGAAAGGGGGATTGTTATTGAACAAGATTATTGGCCCCATACTGTATTAATTCTTTTTCTTTTCTCTGTAGGTTTCATCGACCATAAGAACATGTGCAAATGCAAAAGGAAATCTAGCTACACAGTACGGGGATGAAGGCTGTCTCCTGAATACTGTACATGAAGCCGTGTTGTATTGACAGTTGTGTACAATATATTCAATACACATTCGATGAACCTGGTGCCATGGGGAAAGAAATCAATACTTGATAACCGTATCATATGTAAATCATGCTTTCATCAATTAACTAATCCATGAAATGGAGGTTCCCCTTGATCATATCTGTCTTTGCGCCTCCAGATTGATACAATACTGCGGCTGGTTTCAAATCGCAGTGCCAAAAAGACTTGAGAGCTGCTGGAATTGTGTGCTTGGGAGTGGTTGTATTTTTCTGTAAGCTTTTACTGGAACTGAAAACGTGTGTCTGTGTATACAGACCAAGTTTGGACTTTCCTCTTCTTAATCTCACCCTTTGTATCTTTCTTTTTTAATGCACGCACTACAATGGCTTTGCTTGGTTTGAAGGTTGCTCTTGGTCAATGTGATTTTTTTTTTGGTCTGAGAGTATCTGTCCCAGCTCTCCTTTTCTGCATTACCTCTGTGTCCATCATCAGTTCCATACCATTTAGCTGCTAGTTTCCCCAGTGGCAAAATGTGATCCTGGAACAACTGCAACAGATGAAAAACTTTACATACTCGGTGTGTTTTTTTTTAATGTGAACAATGCCACATAAGAGTCCATCTCTCATCTATCTCTGAATGAAAAAGTACTGTTTTCATAGTAGCAGGGCTCTGTTGAAAGGAAAGTAATGTTGTACCTGGAGCCTTAACTTTCCATCCAAAAGGTGCACAGTTCTTTGGGAGGAGAAAAGTATCTTTTTGTACAGTCAGGCATTGATTTGTACTGGACTACAAATCGGTGCCTGTGTGGCAAATGCACCACCCTCAACTACTGTATAAAACATTGATTTAGATTAAGTCAATATGTGTACATTTGTCTTCCTGTTTAAATATTGAATAAAAGTATTGTTTGACACTTTTCTTTTTACAAAAAAAAATCAGAATACACTTAACACTAATTGGGATAACTTCCTTCTCAACCAAACTGTACAAAATACGTACTTGTTTTAAGTTCCATCTCCTAGACATTTTTTCAAGTTGCCTTGCAATTCTTAATGAATCTCTTCCCATTCTCGTGGTCCACGACACACAATAGGTAGGGGAGATCAGGATTTGTTAGAATTTTTATTCTGTTTCTTTCCCCTCTGGCATTTTTCCTTATTATCAAGCAATAGACTTTTGTATTTTATGTTCTTAATCTATTTGGACAGCTCAGTAAATTCATTGTGCTTCATGGTTGAATATGCTGACTGGGTTGAAGGGTTTGTTTTTCTCAAATGAGGCACTTTCTCTGTTTTTATTTGTAATACTCAGTCTCCAGTCAGCATTATTTCAAGGCTCTTGTGTGCAAACAGACCAGTGGGACTGCCTTAATTGATTACACTCTTAATCATCATTTTACCGGTGAATTCTTCGTATTATCCAACCGAACTATATGCCGTGGGAACTGTGAGATTTTAGTTGGGTTTTAACATAGGAACGGCACAGAGTCAAAACATTTGCCACAGCATTAAAGTGATGGGTAGGCTAGGTATGTTGGCATTGAGCAGTGACTCAATTAGAGAAAGGCAACAAAGTTGTCAGACTGCAGTGTAAACTGATCAAACCGTACCTGTTGTCATGCATTACAATTCTTGCTTCTCTTCTGTTTTCTGTCCATAACAGTTCATTAAGGTAAGGAGAAACTGGAGAGAATAAGTAAGCTGTGGAAAGCATAAATGTTTTGGCTCATTTCGTGTTGTTAGCCTTGGCATTTGTTTGTGCCGCACATCATTTTTGCTTGATAGGGTCAATAATACACAAAAGAATCTGCTTCCTTGAGAGGTTGATTGGGATCCCTAGCAGATTCTTATTTATTGCAGCAGTTGGTGTTGTACTGAGCCATACAGGTTGGGCAGATCCCTGGTTTGGTCTTTGTTCTGTGCCCCCTTAACCAATATCTGTTGGGATAACTTGGGCACTGTAATTATCTTTGGTGCCTCTGTGCAGAGGAGAAAAGTCAGGCAGGATTCCCACTCCTGATTACTATCCGCTAAATCTTGCTGGGAAGTGCACAAGTAGGACAGGGTCAGACTTGGATCATTGAAGAGCCCGCCAAAGCTCTTGCTAGGTTTGCACTTGAAGAATAGCCAAATTTTGGAAGGGTTGGGGGATTGGTAGTATCAGAAGATTTCAGATACCCTCCTACATGCATCAATGACTACAGGGAGAAAGGAGGGTGAATGAAAAAAATAATGGCAAGAAAATAAGGGTGCTACTACACACTGGAGTTTTCGGGCATTCTAAACTGCTAAGAATCTAATTTAGAATTTTGCTTTTGCTTAAACCATGTACAATGTGGCAGGGATTAAGAACCCTACTTCCCCTCCCCCCCTTTTTTTTATTGCACATGTATGTAATATTTTAGAAAAGTATATTAATACATTTTTTTGTAAAGTGTTGGGTATTTTAAAATAGTCTTCCTTGTACCTTTTTCCCCAATGCCAGTTCAGCTTCAGAGTTTACCCATTGAATCCACATCATAGTGGTGCTGTTTTTAAGTCTGAGGGGATCAACCTTTTAGATGGTCCACTGACTATTATTGTCCCCCCCCCACAGTTGCTCAGTTATAAAGTGCGTCTGAACCAAAAGGCAGATTAAAAAGAGATTGTTAAAAATCCAGCCTCCATTAGCAATTATTCTTTCTAAACAAAAGACAAAAATTAATTTTTTTGCAGTCTGTATAGTTGTATGTACATTTTCATGAGTTGTAAATAATTGAACAGTTACTGTTGCTCTTATAATATTGGTGTATTTTGTTCTCATTCAGTGCTGCTTTCTTTTATTAAAAAAAAAGTAGATTCCTATTTGGTTGTAAATTGGTTGAGTTTCTTTTTAAATTATTGAACTTGCACAAAAGCCTTCTGATACAGAGCAGTTACTCACTGTCCTTCAAAGGACTTGCAAAGCAGATCATTTTCAGCACTGTCGGGTATAGACAAGGCCTGTGTATAGATTGGCCAAAGTGTAATCCGCCGCAGGTGCTGTGAATGGAAAACGTTTGGGTCTTTCTTGATGTGAAAACTGGGTTGAATCTAACGTCCATCTCTTCCAAAGTCATCACGTGAATTGCACCTCCAAAATGACTTTTTTAAACTCAAACTGTGGAATGACATCTTCAAGAATGAAGGTTTTTCAGTTAAATGATATTTCTGGCGTACAAACAATTGTATCAATGGATTGAAGGGAGGACACCAAGGAAGCACAGAAGTATGAGTGTCTGAACTAACAATCAGAATCCCTTAATCCTATACTTTTACGATCATTAATTCTTGGGAGTTATTTAAGTTATTTCCATCTGTGTGGCATCCCATCAATTGCTGTGGGACCAGTGAGGATAATGTGTACATATTCAGGTAGATGAATATCATTGACAGCCTGTGTTTTTCTTTGAAAAGTCTTATTATCTACTAGAGTATTTTTGTTTCAAATCCTCAAATAAGCAAGGAATATCACTTGAACCTAATATATTTTAAGAAAGATAAGATCTTTCTGGGTGCCTGTAGTCAATTTAAAGATGTGTTAGTTGTGCTAAAGTTCAGCTACCAGCATTCCTACTGACTCAGTCACAGCCTGTTTTGTTGACATGAGCCTAGATTAAACTGGGGTTTTGCTATGTTTAACTTGGATAGTGCAGTAGTAGCAAAGGGTTGCTGTTATATCAGAGCTGGTATGGTACGTTTGTTCTTTTTAAAAATATAAACCTGAGAGTCCACAGCGAAATGGGTGACCGACAGCATTTTGCATTACACACACCTTTGAGATGTAGCACCTCTGCTTTCTAAAATTACAAATTCCTAATTCGAACAGATCTGATTGACTGGCGCAGAACTGAGGCTATACTCTTGGTTTGATTTTTCTTTTCTTTAAAATTTAACCAGTATAATTCGAAACTTGAGGAAAAGTCTTTAAAGGAAAAAAACCTTTGCAAATCAGTCAAAACTGTTCAAGAACAGTAGACCAAAGTGTATCTTTAATTTTATTCCGCTTTCATCCCCTTGTCTTTGTGCCACCACGTTGTCCTGCCAGTCTTTGCTGCATTGTGAATAAATGGTAGGTGGTATGTGTGCATGGGATATGGGTATGACACACTTTTGCTTATCTTACCTTGCTCAACCAGTGACGTGACCTCTCATTGTTCACGTGAGAATGACCAAACAAGCAGCACAATGGTTTGGTGGTTAGCACTGCTGCCTCACCTTGCCAGGGACCCAGGTTCAATTCTACCCTCGGGCAACTGTCTATCTGTGTGGAGTTTGCACATTCTCCCCTTATCTGCATGGGTTTCTGCCGGGCGCTCTGGTTTCCTCCCAGAGTCCAAAGATGTGCAGGTTAGGTAGATTGGCCATGCTAAATTGCCCCTAGTGTTGATAGATGTGCAGGCTAGATGGGTTAGCCATGGGAAATGCAGGGTTACCGGGATATGGTAGGGGGATGGGTCTGAGTGGGATGCTCTTTGGAGGCTTGGTCGGTGTAGACCCATTGGGCCAAATAGCCTGTTTCCACACAAGAGGATTTCTATGGTTTATTTTGATAGAGACAGAACCTTTTGATCTCTGTTTATTAACTGGGTGCTGATTTCTGTTATTGTGTGAAGCCCCCTTTCTTACATAGCCTTGGATAGATATCCCAGGCTGAGCACCATAGCCAATCCTAAGACCTTACACAGCAGAGTTCTCCAGGTTTTATTCATTTGTGCTGAGGGAGCAGTCCTCATCTTGTCCGTGCAAGGGAGAGAAAGAAATGAACCAGGATCCCAAATCCCTGAATAACATCCAGTGATTTATACTGGACAATGTGTGCATGTACACGATTGGCTGACCTGAGATCCTCTAATGTCACCTTCTCATTCTTGCTATTTGGCCAGCGCGTGAAGAATGGCAACTGAGCTAAGTTATCGAGAATAGTTTGGACTCATGGAATCAACATGCTGAAGAGAATCAATGCCCACGGGAAAAAAAAGAAAGGGTGTTTTTTTAATCTGAAGTTGCAGACATGCATCAATAACTGACAGGTGTGTTGCTGGCTGTCCTGTGTCAGAAAGGGTTTACATGCCATTTTAATGGGCATGTTAATTGCATTGTATATTGTGCAACCAATGTGTTGGATTCAACTTGTTATTTTTGTAGCTCTGCCTTTCTTTTTAGACCAAAAAAGTGTGTCATGTCTACTGTGATTATTTTTTGTTTATGGGAGAGGTGTCTTAACATGCTCATTCATTTCCTTCAAAGACATGACATTTTTAAACCCAGAATAAAATTACAATCACACCTTTTGCTGTCAGTTATTTGTGATGATTATTAGTTCATAAGTTGTAGGATTCTATTAGACTGCAGTGTTTTATGAAAAGTATGTATTTTTCTTTATTAGGATTGCTTACCTCAGTATTGGTTTTTTTTTTGTTTTAGGAAAGGTCACTTAACTGGAAAGGTTAACTGTGATTTCTCTCCACAGATGCTGCCAGACCTGCTGAGCTTTTCCAGCAATTTTTGTTCTTGTTTCTGATTTACAGCATCTGCAGCATATTTGGCTTTCCCTCTATTTCTGATATGCAACTTGTATATTATCTTGTGAAGATGGACACACAATATTTGTTCAATGTCTGCACCGTTTCTTCATTTCACATAATAATTTTACTTGTCTCTGCTTTTAAGACAACGAAATACTCATTTTAACTACTCTCTTCCTTTTATATTAAAATATTTTGCAACCTGTTTTTATATTCTGTGTAATTTGCTCTCATTCCACATTATTCCCTCTAATCAGCCCTTGGCTGGTTCCAAGACACTCTTGATCCTGGTTTTTTAAAAAGAAAAATGCTACACTTAGCTTTTTGAGACAATTCCAGAGCATTGCCTCCAGACAGCTTGAAAATGCAAGTATGAATATTAGAGCAATTAAATTGGACATTATGTAGGAGGATAGGGTAACTTTTTTTCCCCATCCAACCTTCTCTCCTTTGTTATTCTTACTTGGCTACAAATGTCTTATCCAGTTGTCTCATACAAACACTGTGATTGTGATTATTGTGTCACCTTAAGTGTCAGAGAGTACTTTTTATTGTGATACGCAATGGCAACATGTGTACAAATTTCAGCAGGAATTATCGGATGATAATTAAAGATGGAACATCTGACTGAGTTAGTTCCTGCAAAGTGCAGGAATCTTTCTACTTTTACTGTGGTCAGCTCACTCAATGCCAGTTATCAAACTCAAAACATTCAGAAATGATCGGAAGCAAAAGACCAGCTGATTTAATCGAGTCGATCCCACACAATGGTGTTCCAATTTAAGATAACTAAAGTTCTCTGTTAGTGACAAAGTTCTGTGATCATGACACAGTCCAACATTTATTATGCACAAATAACCCATTTCAAATAGATATGTGTAATAAATAAATTGTGCAGAAGAAAAGTCAATTAGCAGAAGGATTGATGATGATTTCTCCCTCCATCTCCTCCTTCCCCCCTCCCTCCAATTCACAAGAATGATTAAATGGATATCGCAGAAAATCTATAGAATTGTATAGCAGTGCAAAATTGTGCTTCATGTCCATTAAACCATCAGCAAGCAAATGGACTAATAGCCTGAGCATTTAATAGTCTTGAAAGCGAGAGCCTTGAATGTATATTTTCTTCTTTCATGGGGTGCAAGCAAGGCCATCTCAAACAAGTATGTTGTTTTGGGTGCTGTGGGGGTAATCACTTCTGAGGTACGTAACACTGACAGCCAGGTTTCTGGTACCCTGACTGGCTCTACAGTAAAAAGGGGGTTTATCAGGTTTCAACTGATCGATTTTGTTTGGGAACTCTCTAGTCGGGCACAAACAGACCTTTCTGCGGCTGTCAGCAAGACATCAGAATGGTGTGTTGACCCCCTGGTGCCAGGGTCAAGGATGATCGGAGTGGGTGTAGAATATTCTGAAAGGGAAGAGTGACCAGCAGGAGGTCATTGTACATGTTGGTACCAGCGACAGAAATGGATGATGTTCTGTAGAGAGAATATAGGAAATTAGGCAGCAGGACAAAATGCAGATCCTCAAGGGTTGTCATATCTGAATTACTCCTGATGCCATGTGTGCAAGTGTGAGTAGGAATAGGAGGATAGGGCAAATGAGTGCACGGTGAAGGAGCTGGTGTAAGGCACAATGATTCCCATTTTTGGACCACTGGAATCTTCTGGGGTAAAAGTGACCTGTATAAGGAGGATCGGTTGTACTTGAATCGGAAGGGGATCGATATCTTGGTAGATTGTTAGTGCTACGCGGGAGGCTTTAAACTAGTAAGGGGGTTTGGCAGGGGGGAGCTCAAAATGAGAGTGAGAAAATAGATCAGTCTGAGGCCGGTACAATAGATAAGGGGAGTAAGTTAAATAGTCAAGGCAGCCAAAAGCACAGTAGAGAATGAGGTAACACTGATAAATTACATTTATTTCAATTCAAGAGGCCTGACAGATAAGGCAGATGGACTCAGGGCATGATGGGAACATGGGACTGGCATATCATAGCTATTGCAGAGATGTGGCTCAAGGATAGACAGGACTGGCAGCTTAATGTTCCAGGGTAGAAGTGCTATAGGAAGGATAGAAGGAGGGAGAGTAGTGTTTTTGGTTAAGGATAGCATTATGATTGTACTTGAGATATTCCTGGGAATACATTCAGGGAGATTATTTGGGTGAGACAGAGAAGTAAGAAAGGGATGAGCACCTTATTGGGACTCTACTATAGACCCCCCCCCCCCCCCCCACCAAGTCAGTGGGAAATTGAGAAACAATATGTAAGGATATCTCAGATATCTGTAAGAATAATAGGGGATTTTAACGTTCCAAATATAGACTGGGATTGCCATAGTGTGAAGGGCTTGGATGGAGAGGAATTTAAGTATGAATAAGAACATTTTCTTGAACAATGTGTGAATGTACCAACTAGGGAAGGAGAAAACTTGACCTCTTCTTGGGAAATAAGGCAGGGAAAGTGACTGAGGCGTCAGTGGGGGAGTGCTGTGGGGCAAGTGATCATAATTCTATTAATTTTACAGTAGCGATGAAAAAGGTTAGACCTAATCTAAAAGTCAGAGTTCTAAATTGAAGGAAGGCCAGTTTTGATGGTATTAGGCAGGAACTTTCAGAAGTTGAGTGGGGAAGGCTGTTTGCCGGTAAAGGGATGGTTGGAAAGTGAGAGGTCTTCAAAAATGAGATAATGAGAGTTCAGAGACTGTATTTTCCTGTTAGTCTTGACGGGCAAGGCTGGATAACAAGAATAATGGAGGCATATGTCATGTATAGACAGCTTGAATTGAGTGAATCCCTCGTGGAGTATGAGGGCAGTAGGGGTGTACTTAAGAGGGAAATTGGGAGGGCAAAAAGAGTTAAGGAAAATCCAAAGAGATTCTACAAATATATTTAAGGGCAAAAGAGTAACTAGGGAGAGAATAGGGCCCCTTAAAGATCAACAAGGCCAACTATGTGTGGAACCATGGGAAATGGTTGAGATACTAAATGAATATTTTGCATCAGTATTTACTGTGGAGAATGACATGAAGCTGGTGAACTTGGAGAAATAAATAGTGATATCTTGAAAAGTGTCCATATTACAGAAGAGGAGCTGCTGGAGGTCTTAAAATGCATAACAGTAGGTATATCCTTGGGATATGATCAGGTGTATCCTCGAACTTTGTGGGAAGCTAGGGAAGAGATTGCTGGGCTTCTTGCTGAGATATTTGTATCATTAACAGCCACTGGTGAGGTGCCGGAGGACTGGAGGGTAGCTAATGTGGTGCCATTAGAACAAAGAACAAAGAAAATTACAGCACAGGAACAGGCCCTTCGGCCCTCCAAGCCTGCGCCGATCCAGATCCTCTATCTAAACCTGTCGCCTATTTTCCAAGGATCTGTATCCCTCTGCTCCCTGCCCATTCATGTATCTGTCTAGATACATCTTAAATGACGCTATCATGCCTGCCTCTACCATCTCCGCTGGCAACGTGTTCCAGGCACCCACCACCATCTGTGTAAAGAACTTTCCACACATATTTCCCTTAAACTTTTCCCCTCTCACCTTGAAATCGTGACCCCTGGTAATGGAGTCTCCCACTCTGTGGGGAAAAAAGCTTCTTGCTATCCACCCTGTCTATACCCCTCATGATTTTGTAGACCTCAATCAGGTCCTCCCACAACCTCCATTTTTCTAATGTAAATAATTCTAATCTACTCAACCTCTCTTCATAGCAAGCGCCCTCCATACCATTATTTAAGAAAAGTGGTAAGGAAAAGCAAGGGAGCTATAGACTGGTGAGCTTGACGTCAGTGGTGGGTAAATTGTTGGAGGGGATTTTGAGGGACAGGATGAATTTAGAAAGGCAAGGACTGAATATGGATAGTCTATATGAATATAGATGGCTTTGTGCATCAGAAATCGTGTCTCACCAACTTGATTATTTTGAAGAGGCGACAAAGAAGTTTAATGAAGGTAGAGCAGTAGACGTTGTCTCTATGAACTTCAGCATGGCGTGCAACAGCATTATTATCGGTCTGGATTCAGGTAAAGGACAGATCAAAGAACCTTGATGAACCAGGTACATTTTTACCACAATCAATGATTGTTTCATGGTCACCATGACTGAGAATAGCTTTCAATTCCAATACTTTTTAATTGAATTTAGTTCCATCAACTGCCATGGTGCTATTTGAAAGAATGTCTCCAGATCATTAACCTGGATTAGAGTCCAGTGGTGTCATTATTGGCAGGGTCTCCCTGATTTGTCTATGTAGAATAGTTAAATTAAATCTCTCATGTACAGCAATGGATGTTGTTTCCTTTCTGATAATCAATGTTATTATCTCCGATTTGCATTTAGTGTGATAAAGATTACAAGCTGAGTTGAGCCATGTATCATTTTAAGTTTGACTTGTTTCTCTATACTATAAATATTAAGTAGCATTAACGTAGTCACTCTGATCCTAAAGCTGTCTAGTTCTCCAAAACAATGAAGTAAAAGAGAAACACTAATGCTTTGGCTGAAGACTGCTGGTTGCAACAGTTCAAAAGAAGGTTTGTTTATACTGCTGGTGGTTTTCAGCGTGAGCAATGTGCTCTCCCTGCTCAGCCAAACTCAGTTCTGCGCCTTGTTGCCCAAATAGAGGTTGTCTTATTCTTTGAAAGGTCATTACATTCACTATCTGCTTCCAACAGCCCTACCACATCTGTCACTGTTGGTTGACCAAAATGACCAACTCCACTGTCCACCACTCCCCCCAGGAACAGGAAAGCAAGAAGACACTATTATCTAGTAGGATACGTTTAACCATCAGTGATTGTCACCAACTGCAATATCATTATAACTGAACAGGAATATCCAAAGTAATTGGATTTTATTTTTTGGGGGGACTATGATTTTTCTCCTAGGAAGTGCACAATGGAGGCTGTGGCTTAGCCTTTAGTTTTCTGAGACTCCAGGCCATTCCTGAAGGGTTAGCAACCCCTGCCCCAATATTCTATCCTTAAGATGAATGAGATATGAATTTACGTCCGTGATTCTTTACATGTCAATATCCCAATTGCACAATGTGTTTCAGAGATTGCTGGAACTACCCTCACATGTACAGTTTGGGTTACTGGCCAACTGAGAGCTAGAATGCAATATAACTTGTTACACTTTCATTTGCAATTACGTATAACCAAAAAGAGTTGCACAGATATGTTTTGTTTTGGATTATCAGATTGTTTATTAGTTCAGTTGTAAAGACCTTGACCAGAATTTCACATGAGTTCAGGAGGTCCCTGGTGGCTGTCAGGACCCTGGGGGCAGTTTTACCTGTGGCAGCCAATTAAGAAGCCACCATCCTAATGGGCCTGACAGCCCAATCAGAGCAGCTTGGCAGCACTGCTAATACACATGGCTACTGTCGAGGCTGTAGGAAAGAGGAAAGAGCAGCTCCCTGATGAGCTTCCCACCAAAGGCAGGGTTTTATTTTAATGTGTCAAGGCCAGTGATTGGAGGGATGTAACCTCTGGATGCAGCTGTGGGAATTGCAGTTGTCACTGGGCTGGTACCTTAGTGAGTCACGGTGCAAACTAGAAATGAAGGCTTCACCCAACAGATTAGGAACCTACCGGGAGGTTTAACCTGTTGGGTTCTCCACGTGTTAGAATGGCAATGGAAGTAGAAAATGACCTTTATTGATCTTTTCACTGCCAGCCTCTGATCAGTGAGAGACAGCAGTGCTGATAATTCCACTTCATGAAATATTCTGTGACATTGGGAAGACTTTGGGTATTACATCCAAAGACTTTCTCCGCCATGTTATAAGTTCTTCCACTAGTGACTGGAGTAAATACATGAAGTGCATTTAAGGAATGGTTAGACCAACATATATGGATACAGGGGATTGGTGGTTATGCTGATAAATTCAAATGAGGAAATATGAAAGGAAGCTCTGGTGGAGAATGAACACCAGTTGCGACTGATGAGTTAAATAGCAAAGATGCAAGCAATTCAGCCCTATGTAGGCCTATTCTCTTCTAGTGGTGGCTGACCCCTCTGTTACTGAGGCCCTAGACCGAAACGTAAAAACTTCCTAACTCCCTACCTACACTCACCTTTACTGGCTCCATCCCCGCCTCTTCGACCTGTTTGTTTCCTCTCCTCTATCCCTCTTCTATCCGCCTCCCACTCTCTCCCTATTTATTTCAAAACCCCCTTCCCCTCCCCCTTTTCTGATGAAGGGTCTAGGCCCAAAACGTCAGCCTTTCTGCTCCTATGATGCTGCTTGGCCTGCTGTGTTCATCCAGCCCTGCACCTTGTTTTCTCGGATTCTCCAGCATCTACAGTTCCTACTATCTCGAATTCTTTACATAATCTTTTTTCCCATTCTACCTCTCTTCACCAACACAATATTTTTTGTAACCTAACTTCTGACCCAGTTTTTTTTTGGCATCTGTCCTAAAATTTCCTGATCTGGCAAATGTCAAATGGTATTTGATAACGCTCCTGTGATGTATGTTGCAGCATTTTAATGTGTAAAAGTTGTTATGTGAATCCACGGAATTGGAAACAATTTCCGATCCCGAAACTTTGCCAACTGCAGCCTTCCAAAAAAAAGTAACTTTTCCTGACTCAATGGTACTCCAGGCCAGGCAGTGGCGCTGCAGTGGGCGAGGCCGGATGTTTAGAAGCAGATCGCTCTCCGATACTTGGAAAACTCGTTGGTTAGCCGTGCGTATAAAAAGGCGAGACGGACGATGCTCTGCCTTTTCGCCCCGTGGAAACGATGCCTAAGGTAGGTGTCTGTGAGGGTCAGGGCCCAGGCGTGGCCGGCAGTGGCTGAGTGGCGGCCGAGTGCTGCTCTGGCTCATCCATGAAGATGGGAGAGGGAGGCCGTGTTTAATTTCGCGCGCCTGTGCCGGCAACCGGGATCTCGGTAACGGTTTGTGGCGGTTAGGTGAAGGCCGGGCGGTGGAGGACCCCGGATGGACGGGAATCACGTGGATGGAGAGACCACGTGCTAGGAATGAATGGGCCTTTGAGCACAGCCACGTTCTACCAATGGTACCCGTTCCTGTAAAAGCAAAACAGATCTATTATTTTACTTCGCAGAGTGGCTTTTACCAGTTGTAGGCTTACTGCTAGTTTATGTTCACCAGCCAGTTTTGCAGGCTTGGATCTGTTTCGATATATCTTAACATAGAATTAGGATGGCCATTCGCCTGGTTTTGTACAAGATGGTCAGGTTTACTGTATGTCTGGCAGTGGGGTGGGAGACGACTTCAGTTTGGAAACAAGTAAACTTTGGCAGATAGGCACACAGCTTGCTTTAGTGTGTTAACAAATTCATATTTGTGTTATTTTACACAGTGCACTGGGATCTTCTGGAAGTTGTACCTGCTGGATCCTGGCATCCATTCATGACATTAACCAGTACACCCAAAATGAGGTAAATTTCATATTTATCATCTTAAGTTTTTCTGTCCCCTCAACTGTTAAAAGGACAAATGCCCTGCTTCTGCGTCAATGGTCTATTACAGTTCTTCATGCTACATGACAGCTGATGCAGCGGCCAACAGTGTGGCAAATGCATCCAGTATGCATAGCATAGGCTACTAATATGAGGGTAATGTTGATTGAGTTCTAAAACATGCTCAAGGTGCCAGGGGTAGTTCTTTTCCTCTTTGAAACATGGCCAAGGAATCAGCATCTAAAATACAGTTCCTGAATGCCAGTCTAGGGTTTTTAAATTCTCAAATTAATGGATTGGGACTTAACCTGGTCAGAATTTGTTGGTTTATAAACTGAAAAACTGGTGACAACCTATCTGCGGATGAAACTTCTGGTATTGCGATTCTTCATGAGCATTGTGAGTGTTGATTGGTCTTATGAATGATCTTGACTAGGTAGGGTTTTGTTCATTTGATCCGCACTGTCTTAACTCTTGCCCCTCCCAGTTTTGTATACAAGAATGTATTTGTGCATGGAGTCTCCCTGGTTCAGTCGATGTTCCTAATGGATAGTTAATAGTCATAAAATGCTGATGTTTACTTTCAGACTAAGTTGCATGTATTGTCTGTTTGCGAGATAATTTTTGGTCAATATATGCATGTCCCTGGGATTAGGTATGCCCATGGAAATGTTGGCCATCTAGAGGTTCTTTATGCTTTGAGAAAAGTTTATTTGAATTGGCTAAAAGAACACTTACATCTGATACTGAATATTCAATTATAAAGTTACTGCTGTTTTTTTATGGCCATAACATTTTGGTGAGATGCTCTGATGTGGGCATCCTGCCAGGTTGCTCTTGGTCTCTGTGTGGCCAATGGGAGCATAGGCCTATGGATCAATGATGTATAGTCTTGTTCCCATAACGTTGGTAAGCAAGTGTGCCCTCACCGTTTCAGCTGGCAAGGCCAGCATTATGTCTAATCCTAGACCATCTCAGTGTATGATAACTGGGAAGATAAACCATGCAGGCTACAGTTAATCATGAAATTCTGGTAGATTTTGGACTAGATTGATTTGTGGACAGGATGATAGTCCTGTAATGTTGTGATTGAGATTCTGTCTGATTTAGTTGAAATGTCTGTCTTCTAGCTATCCAAAATGAAGAAGAGGTTGGAACCAGATACTGTTTGGGAGAGAGAAATCCTTTTTTTGTCCCATGTTTTTCAAGGAGACAAAAACTCAACGTGGGCATCTGGCGAGGTTGCTCTCGTCTAGCTCTGTCCGTGTGGCGTATGGGAGCGTAGACTTTTGGGTCTATGATGTACAGTCCCGTTCCATGACGTTGGAGAGCATGTGTCCCCGGCTTTCGGGCTGGCGAGGACAGCACCCTGTATATTCCTAGACCTTCTCAGTGTGTAATGTGACTGAGGAGATAAACCATGCAGGGTACAGTTAATCATGAAAAAGAATGTTAGATTTTGGGTCTGGACTATTGTAAGGGCAGCATATTATCCTGCTGTGATCTGTGATTGAAATTCACTCTGTAATCATTGAATTGTGCTTGTTTTGCAGCAAGACTGCATTTATCCATCCTGAATGAGGAAGGTGGTGAAAACCAGGAATGCTGAAACTGAATGCACTGTGATGAAGGTGAATTTTTATCTTGCCTGATTTCAGAAATTGAAAACCCAACGTGGTCATCCAGCAAGGTGGCTCTGTCCATGTGGCATATGGGAGTGTAGACATTCTGTCTGTGACACACAGTCCCGTTCCACGACGTTGGAGAGCAAGCATGTCCCCGGCTTTCAGCTGGTGAGGACAGCGTCCTGTATATTCCTAGACCTTTGCAGTCTGAACAGTGACTGTGGAGATAAACCATGCAGGCTACAAGCTTACGTTAGAAGCATGATCCTGTTGCTTCAGAAAGTTTTAAAAACTGGACATGTGCATCAGTCAGATTCTTTGGAATGAATACAGTTCTCATTACTATGTGCAATTTTGACTGCCAAAATTTGGGAAAGATGTTAAGGACTTGGAGAAGATGCAGCGGGTATTTTGACAGGAAATACTGAACTTCAGATATGCAGACAGGTTAGGGAATCTTGATTTGTTTAGTATACAAATTCTATCAATAGTTAACTGAAGTTGATTTCCATCTTTGGAGATCTATTTGCAGTACCAATTTAGAACTAGTATTGGACAGTATGCCCACTGGGCAATTTGGTAGTCTACATATTTGAATGAGTGTTTTCATTTACTTCTATCACTCCTGACACCGCAACAGGATTTAAGAATGAAGCCTAGTGCACAGAGATGTTGTTCGCTCTAATCCTGTAATGATGACATGAGGCTTTGTGTATCACTGAACTTTGAAAGCAGCAATCCATTGACTGTAATGAGAGATGCCAGGTGTGATTTAATGCTCTATTAGCTCACATTTGTCATGAAAATGCAACAGTAAATGGGGAAGGCTGGGTAATTATTAAATTGGAGCTTTATGGGGCAGCAAATAAAAATAAGTAGGCCATTCTATAGATCTGATGTGAAATTATTTAATTGAGCTGGCACCTGCTACTTTGAGGGGAAAGTTCCACAATTCAACTGTCTTGTGTGAAGCTGCTTTTCCTGACATGACCAACTCCTGACTGATTTTAATGCTGTTTCTCCTGAATATATTAGCAGAAAGAAGTTCTGAATTTACCATGTTGATTTCTTTGAAAATCCTGAAAAACCACCTGATAAGTTACTGCTTAATAGTTGCTATTCTGAGGATAAGATTCCTGTTTATGGAATCTCTGCATAAAAATCTATTTCCCGATAGTTCAGAAATACTTTCAAGCTGATGGTGCCCAGGTCACTTCAGTTAGAAATTAGCGGGCTGTTGATTCTCATCCTGAACTCAAGCTCACTGATTACTGAGGCGAGCATTGTTATCACTTTGGAGGTAATTTGACCTCCTTTTGACAACTGTGCTTGGGTTGGGTGCTTGTGGAAGAGTTCCAAATTTAACACTGAACTTTTTCTATTGCAGGAGCAACATTTGTTGAAGACAGCTGGGGGATATCAAGAACAGCTGAGTGATTTTGAGTTGACAAGTTCATGGGGATCATTTTGGGAAAAGTTGGATGTGAAATGATAGAGGTAAGCATTTATGTGAATATTCCTTGTACATTAGCTCTATTGCACAATAAAAATCTGTTGATTTTTCCAGTTAACAATTACCATTTTTATAAATAAAGTTCAACAGTGGGCTTGTGTTTCCGTTATATATCCAATGTGGGCATCTGGCGAGGTTGCTCTCGTCTAGCTCTGTCCATGTGGCGCATGGGAGCGTAGGCCTCTGGGGTCTATGACGTACAGTCCGATTCCATAACGTTGGAGAGCATATGTGTCCCCGGTTTTCGGGCTGGTGAGGACAGCATCCTGTATATTCCTAGACCTTCTCAGTGTGTAAGGTGACTGAGGAGATAAACCATGCAGGGTACAGTTAATTGTGAATTGGAACATATTAGAGATGTTTGGTCTGGACTGTTGTGAAGATAAGATTATATCGTTCTGTGATAAGTGATCAAGGTTCATTGTAATTATTTGATGAACTGTGCTTGTTCTGCAGTGAGGACTGTATTTTATCCATCCCGAATGAGGTAGAGGCTGTAAACCAGGAATGCTGAAATTAAATGCACTGTGGTGAAGGTGATTTTCTTTTTCTCTTGCATGACTTCAGAAATTGAAAACCCAACGTGGTCATCCAGCAAGGTTGCTCTTGTCTGGCTCTGTCCATGTGGCATATGGGAGTGTAGACATTCTGTCTGTGACACACAGTCCCGTTCCACAACGTTGGAGAGAAAGCATGTCCCCGGCTTTCAGCTGGTGAGGACAGCATCCTGTATATTCCTAGACCTTTGCAATCTGAACAGTGACTGTGGAGATAAACCATGCAGAACACAATAAGAATAGATCTAAATCTTTACATAACCATCTTTGATTTGTGCTATCAAGGCAGCAAATAAGTTTTCACGTTATTCATTGGTCCTGATCTTGATGGTGAGAAAAATAAAATGCAAAGTTTTCACATTGGCATCATTGTACCATTTGTAAAACTTGGCAACTCCTATCTGGTTGAGGGATAAATAAGAGACATTGAAGATGTGATTATGCCAGAAACATGAGATGCCTGCAAAGTAGTGGAATATTGGTTTATCTTCTGGCTTGTGAGCTTTCACAATTTTGAAAGCATGGTTGTCACACGATAGTACTTGCTATCCTGTCATATAGGAGTGTGTATTGGATATAAAATGTCCTGGCAGCAGGTTATAAAATGGTTTTACAAGTGGCAGCCATTTTGATTTGTAGATGCCATTTGGACCTTTGGAAAGATGTTTAGATAGGTACGTTTATTTGGATCTTGTCTACTTACTAATCTGATGTTATATCTGCTTTATTTTAGGTAGTGCTTCACCTGCTGTGCTGTACTTCACATGAGTGCTGTTTGAGTTTTAACTTGGTTTTGTACATAGTTATCACTAAACTTTGTATGTTTTGCATATTTAAATAAAACTAAAATGCAACAGATCAGTTTTTCTCCATTGCCATGGTGTGTCTTTGACTTTCCACCTGATTCACTCCATTCAGTTATGTTTCAACATTGACCACATTTCAAAACAGTTATTTTGGCTGTAATGGATTTGAATGTCCTCGTGCTGAAACGTGATGCAAGTCAGTTTTACTTGGATTGATTTTTACACCATTTTCCTTTGCTTTGAAAGCAGATCATTCAGGTGCTTGAGGCTGTTCAACTACTGAGTTCATTGTTGATCTGTCCGAAAACTCCCATTTATTTAAAGAGAGTACGAACTGCCGATGCTGGAGTCTGAAGAAGGGCCCAGACCCGAAACGTCAGCTTTCCTGCTCCTTTGATGCTGCCTGGCCTGCTGTGTTCATCCAGCTCTACACCTTGTTATCACATTTATTTACGTGCTTTTGCTCCATTTTGGCCTCAAGTATGAGTTTGCTTTCTGTGGGACAGGCTTCCAAACTTTTACCACTCTTTAGTAACAACCCCATTGTGAATCAAGGTTGTGGGTTCAGTTCCCACTCAACAAAAATTTAGGCTGACACTTCAGTGCATCGTTGGGGATGTGCTGCAGCATCACAAGTGCAGTTGTGTCTTTCTCTATAAATCCCATATCACCGTTCAAAAATAAGAGTGAATTTGTTTCTGGGCAATATGTAACCCTGTGCCAACGTTACAATATTAACTAGTTAATGACAACACGTTTAACTTGTACGAACATGGTACAGGAGCATGAGGAAACAATTTGAAGAGCCATGCAAGAGATATTGGGGTAGAAGACTAAAACATAGTCCTAGAGACATACAGCTCAGAAACAGACTAGCCAGTCCATGCTGACCATGAACCCAAACTCAGACCCACCTTGCCTGTGCTTTGCTCATATTCCCTCCAAACATATTCATGTATTTATCCAAATGTCTTTTTAATGTTGTAACTGTCACCAGTTTTCTGAAAGTTCATTCTACACAAGAACCAGTCTCTGTAAAATAACTGCCCCTCATGTCTTTTTCAACTCTTTCTCCTCTCACTTAGAAAATATGCCCTTTTAGTCTTGAAATTCCACATCCTAGGGAAAAGGCACCTGCCACTCACCTTATGTATACCTTTTTATTATTTTATAAACCTCAATGATGTCACCTCTCAACGTTCTGTGCTCTGGTGAAAAAGTCCCAGCCTCTCATAACTCGAACCCTCCATTCCTAGCAAAATTCTGATAAATCTCTTCTGAACCCTTCCTATAACGGGGAAACCAGAACTGGACACAGTACCCCAGAAGAGGCCTCACCAATATCCTGTTCAACCCAAACATAATGTCCCAACTCCTTTACTCAAAGGTCTGAGCAATGAAGACAAGCATGATAAACATTTTCTTAAACACCCTATCTATATGGGATGCAAACTTCAAAGAATTATGTACGTGAACCCCTTGGTCTCTCTGCTCTGCAACACTACCAAAGGCCCTACTTTTAACTGTATAAGACTTATTTTACATCTTCATGTAAAATGGGTGATTGCAATATCAATAAATGATTTATGTCCACAAAACATCATTTCTCATTAAAGTCAGGGTGCCAATTAAATGGTAAATTCATTGTCCAAGATAAAGAGTTTTGTCTCAACCCTGCCTTCCTAGAGTTGATTGATAATTCCACTAACTTGCTACGAAGCACTGTGCTTTGACCTTGTATATCCCTGTTAAGCTTTACTGAGTCACCATTATTCACAATCAGATCCCCATCTTCAATTCCCTCTAGCCCTGTTCCATTATATATCAGCAACCATTTTCAACTACATCAACCCCAACACATTCCACACTATTCCTATTGAAAATTCTGTAAGGAGTTTTCTAACCTGACTTTGACGCTGTTTCTAAATATAAATTTTATTTTTCTTGACCCAATAAAATCGCAAAACTTAATGTTTTACCTAATGCCTTCTGGAAGGTTACTCTGTTGTGCTTCAGTGGCTTCACGCTTTAAACTTCTTTACAAAGATTTGCCAAGTTGAGCTTGATCGTATCGTTTTCGCTTTGCAATCGTTCAGCTTCCTCTTTATGCTTTGTCACAGCCAGGTTTTCACGAGTGCCTTGAAGCTGGAGAGGTGTTGGGACGGTAGTTAAGGGTCTGAGGCCTGTACAGGACAAAGCAAGACAGCACAGATGTAGTAATTAAACTTGTAACTACCCCCTCAAGGATCTAAGGGTATTGACGTTTGTCTGTGCCTTCTATCAACCTTGGTCTGATAGTTGGGTATATTGGGCTGAGTACCTTGGGACAGAGTTTTAACATTTGGTAGGACTTGGGGGATGGTGGGGTTTGATTTACAATGTATGACCCTGATGAGTTGTAGCGCTTGGAGATGGAGAGGAATTTGAAAACTAGGATGCTTGATTGGATGTCAACATTTATCAACAAGTAAACTTTTCCATGGAGAAGGTGGTGTGCCTATTGAATGAACTGCCAGTGGAAGTGGTGGAGGCTGGTACAAGTACAACATGTAAAAGGCATCTGGATGGGTATATGAATAGGATGGGTTTAGAGAGATATGGGCCAAATGGGACTAGATTAATTTAGAGATATCTGGTCAGCGTGGATGAGTTGGACTGAAGGGTTTATTTCTGTGCTGTACATCTATGACAATGACTAAATGCAGGTGAATGGGACTGGCTATGAGTTCATAATATGGGTAGCTGCACATAATGGATGCCATCCAAAGTGTAGAGACATAAGGAAGCTTAAGAGTTAAAGGCTTGAATGAGGGTTCCAATGGCAGATGACTTTGAGATAGGGACAATGTGTTACCGGAGATGAAAATGTCAAATTCGTCTTGGCATCATGAGGTCTGAAACATAGGTAACCTCACTGGGTCATAAGTATAACCCACTAAACATTTCTTCTCTTGATACTCAGCCCAATTTACGTGTTTTTCAGACCAAGGTTGGTTTTTAAAAAAAACTGCAGATGCTGGAAATCAGAAACAAATCAAAAACGCCAGACTCTCTCAAGGTTGATAGAATACTCGGACAAGATTTCAAGTAATCAGACTATCTATAAGTCAAAGACAATTGGAATGTAACAACTAATTAATACTCTAATCCCCTTAAAATTATATATGTAGAAAGATAGATTATTTGCTGTGGTATAAAAAAGACCGGGAAGTCAGTTCAATGGTCGTTGCTTCTCGGTTCCGATGGTGAGATGTTAATTCATCGGCTAGTTCCTTGTTAGATGTCTATCTGAAAGCTTACATTGATTTGTAAGTATCACAGACTGGTTGAAAGGCTTGGGAAAAAGACTTATTTACCAATTCAGAAGTCACAGCTCATCACAAGTACTGCAGGAAAGGTAACTGGTTTTATTCAGGAGAGAACGTCTGGCTTTTTCTGGGGCAAACAACAGGACGTAGCCCTGGATCTGAAACTTGCTTGCAGTTCCAACCTGCTCTGTTAATTGCTGACCATTCAATTTTGTAAACTCATCATCTCATACAGGAACCCATGACGACTAGATGGAGTTTACAACACGTATCGATTCCTTGCTATGACATTATGCAGCAAGCCTGGTAAACCTATTTTTCTAACCAGAGATAGTGGGATCTGCAGATGCTGGAAAATCTGAGATAACAAGGGTCTAGGCCCGAAACGTCAGCCTTCCTGCTCCTATGATGCTGCTTGGCCTGCTGTGTTCATCCAGCTCTACACCTTGTTATCTCTATTTTTCTAACCACCCTGTTTAAAGATGTTCCTACGCACTTCTGGCGCAGGTGGGACTTGAACCGGGCTTCCTGATCCAGAGGTAGAGACGCTACTACTGCGCCACAAGAGGGTTAAATCGCTGTTTTCAAAATAGTTCTTTCTTGCAGGCTATAGTTTCCTTTAAAGACAAGGTTAAAAAAGATTATTACTAAAAGAAAAAGTCAGTAGGTGAGAGTTTGGAATGGGGACCAAAAACAATTAGTTCAGTTTCCCCTATATTGGGAAGTTTTAGCAACAGCGAATGAGTAGAGAGGTGGGTACAGCTGCATGTTATCAGTGGTGGTGGAACTAATGCTATGTTTTTGGTTATTGTCGACCGTGCAGGTGGTGTGGTGGGAGAAAGAGGGACAGGCAGGCTGCCTCTGGGGGTCGGGGAGGGACAGGCGGGCTGCCTGCCTCTGGGGGTGGGACAGGGACAGGGACAGGCGGGCTGCCTGCCTCTGGGGGTGGGACAGGGACAGGGA